CTTCTCTACTGGCTTGCAATTTCCTGCGACTCCCCTGGGAAGCAAAGGTCCAGTGGTTCCTTCTTCTAGACACCCAAGTATTTCAGTAGTAGCTGTCACCTCATCCCCTTCCCTGGACCTACCTGAAAGGGTCAATAATTCTGCAGCCACATGCAAAGTGTCCTTTACTCCTTTCTTCCCTAGCCCCTTTCCCATCCCAGAAAGAGTCCTTATCTCTTCTCTGTAAGGAAATCTGCTTATCTTACCCATCTAGGGCTTAGCAAATACATGCTAACCTCTCAGTCTTCCAGGCTGTGTCCTCTATATTCAAAGACAAATTCTTAGAATTAAAACAAAGAACAATACAATATAAACCTTTTCTTCCTTTAAGTGCTTGGCTATTACAATACAAAAAAAAAAATAGCATGGCCTTCCCAGCTACAGGCTCTATGTGTTTAAAAACCATTCAGAATCAGTGCACTGTTTTAGGGTGTATCCAGACTCCCCTGAGGCATAAATGTGAACTCTCTGGGTGGAGAGCAACAATGACATCGGAACACACAGGAAGGAAAAACCTCAATTAGTTTCTCAAAATGTATCCCCTACTTACAATTGTTAGCACACTCTATCAGTTTACGTCACCAGAAACCAGACGAGAAAGTGCAAATGGAAAAATAAGTAATAACCCAAGATTCCATAGAACAATCTTTTTTGCTGTGAAGAAACAATTATGAGAACCCAGTGGCCTCTTATAATTTCAGGCAAAGATCAATTCACTAGGATTTTAGTTCTATACTAAAACATTTTTTTTTTTTGAATCACAAAAATTAAAGAGAGAGAGGAAAAAAAAATTCCTTAAATGTTCAAGCAGTTTCAACATATTACCTACAAAAGAATAAAAAATCAAGCTGGCTTCAGACTTCTCTTCAATACTAAGTTCCAGAAAGCAATGAAACAAATTCTAGAGAGGTTTGAGGGGAAAATAGGTGTTACCCTAAAACATTATACCTGCCCAGTTCTGGTCTGGAGAGAAGGATTTGGGAGCCATTAGCATAAAAGAAAGAATTGCTACTTTGGGTGAGTACATTCATACAAGGAGAGATTTTAAGGTAAGAAGATTGGAAGATCTGGGGTAGATGCCTAAGCAACACCAATGTTGAAGAGAAAAGCAAAGAGAAAGTATTCAAAGAGAATGAGGGGAAGTGACCATAGACGAGGGAAAAAAACTAAAAGAGTATTTGTCACGAAGTCAAGAGAACAGAATGTTTCCACACAGTGAATCAGACATCAGCTGGGTTCAACAGAGCCAAGAATTAGGATAAAGGCTGGGCAGTGCCTATTAGATTTGATGATGAAGAAGTCACCAGCAAGAGAGCTTTGCATGTGGCAAAGCTCCACATGCTGAGAAACTAAAGCCTCTGCCAATAATTTGATTTTTAAAATATCTGATGATTAATTTGATAAATCTAATGAGTTATTAGCATTTAAAAGAGTAATTATATATTTATTCTCAGTAACTGGAATGAATATCCCCAAAACATTGAGAGTACTTGAAATGGCATATTTGTTTTTATTTTCCTTTTATTGTGAGGTATATCACGCATACACAAAAAAAGTACATAATGTATGTGTACAGTTTGAGAAAAGTGATAAGATGAAAATGTAAGCCAGGTTAAGAAATAAAACATTACCAGGAACTTAAAAGGTCCCTGTATTCGCCTCACCAATTCCAAGCCTCTTTGGTCCCCTGAGAAGTGATCAAACTCTGAATTTTGTGTTAATCATTTCCTTACTTTTCTTTAGATATGACATATGTGTGTTCCTCTTACAAAGTATTGTTTGCTTCATTTGGTTTAAAACTTCTAATAAATATAACACAATGCAGTCTTCTGCAACTTGCCTATTTTATTCAATATTATGTTTTTAAGATCCATCCATGTTGATGCATATGGCTATAGTCTGCTCATTTTCACTGCTGTATAATACTTTATTCAATGACTAGTTTATAATACAATCTATTTGTCCATCCTACTATGGATGGACACTTGGTTTGCTTCTCATTATTTCACTATTACAAACAATGCAGCCATTAACATTCTTATGCATGTCTCCTGGATGGAATCACAGGTAGACTAGACTCTCCTTCTACTCACATATACCACAAATGTCCCCATTTGTGTCTGATGTTCTCGTTCAGTAGCATCCAAGATGGCTGCCAGGAAATTACTCCCATAATGCATGCATATTCTTTGAATTAGAATTTCACATTATTTTGAAATATTTGACATGCACAGGTTGGTTTAGATTCAATATCCATTACCAGCATCACAAGAAACTTCCACATAACATTTGTCAAAAAAAGAAAAGAAAGAACTGTTAGATTCCGTAACCGTAATGTCAACTGCTAATTTTCGAATGATTGTAAAAGGTTTTACATTGTGTATTACTTGCTCGCAAGAACAATTTTTTTGTCATTGGTGAATATCCACAATTTAAAAGAGATTATGACTGAAAGGCTTGAACAGGAATTGTGCATAGCCATTTCAAGCAAAAAATCTGATTATTAAAAATGCTATGTTCATAGAAGCAAGTTCAAGTTTCCAATTTAAAAAAATGGAAAATATTTCATCTGAACATCATATGCAAAGTCAATACCTTCCTTAATACCTTTCGTAGTATTAAGATGCACACAATGATTCTTGCCCCTGGTGAACATCCTTGTGGTCCCCCACTACGCTGAATAGGGCACACTTTTGTAACTAATAGGATTACTGCAGAAATGATGGTGTATGACTTTCAAGGCCAGCTCATAAAAGACACTGTGGCTTCTGTCTTGCTCTTTCTTAGATCACTTGGTCTGGGGAAGCCAGCCACAGCATCATAAGGACACTCAAGCACCCAACGGCAAAGCTCCACATGCTGAGAAACTAAAGCCTCTGCCAACAGCCAGCATTGACCCACTAGCCATGCAAGTGAGCCACCTTAGAAGTCAAGCCTTCAGATGATGTAGCCCCTGATGACATGTTGCCTGTAACATCATGAGAAACCCTGAGCCATAACCATCCAGCAAAGCTGCACCTAAATTCCTGACCCACCATAAACTGTGTGAGATAATAAATGTTTATTGCTATTTTAAGCTGCTATGTTTCAAGACAATTTGTTACACAGTGATAGATACACTTGTTTCGTTTTTCTCACCACAATTACAAAATATAAAGAAAATGTCAATTGTTTTCAACAAATCCCATATAGATATACCCCCCATAATCACCTTCTAAAATAGGGATAAGGTGTCTTGTTGAAGAAATAAAACCAAAAGCTGGGATGGCCAGTGTTCAGGAGCCTTCGCCCTCAGACAGAGATTTTCAAGTCATCTTCACAGGCTCTTTTGTTATTATTTTTATGTGAGTTGGGGCAAGGGGACAAAAGTGATGACAGTCAAAGGAGGCCATGGTGGGGGTGGCAGAAATTTTATTTGAAGGGTTTACTGGAAGTTAATGGTCCTGAATTCACTTTGTATACAAAACAGGAGCAGTGTTAACACACTTGAAGGCCCCAAGCATTGAAACAATAATGATGCCTTCCTATGTGCAACAAAAAATATAAACAAATAGAAACTATACAAAACCCTGATATGTGTAAGAATCCCCTGACATTTCTATTTTTCCCTGATGCTTTTTTTTGAAATGTCAATTGTCAAATTCATCCTAAAAATCATTTCAGTGCTCTACTTTACTCATAGTTGGTTGGCTTATTGTTTAATCCAGCAATGATAAAACACTCTTTATAAGCATAAAGATTCATTTCTAATGTGAACATTTTTCATTACAGCAACTCCTGTGCCCCAGTTATGAAATCAATCATTTGACCTGCCAACCACTAGTGTTTTCCTGAGGGGCTCTTTTTAGCCAAGCTGCTTTTGATAAGTGCTTATTTTGTTAATGTTACTTTGAAGCCTATTATAAACATTCTTTTTACACATAAACCTTGCAGTCCCTGGAAGGTGATTAAAATCAAGGTGGTCGGGCATAGGGAAGCTCGTTTCATACCTGCAGACTTCACACTGCCCAAGCAGTCCGCTTCCTTGGCACCGACGCATCATCACCTTGCATGCATGCAAAGGGCCAAGCTACTTATCCTGATCATGGAGAAGGACTTAGAAACTGACAGATGCTAATTTCTGAGGTCAGGCAAGGCACTTCACATTATCCCATTTTGAAGACAAGATCCACATACAGGGCAGGATAGGGAGGCTCTGAGCATCCTGCGTATTTACAAATGCTTGGCTACATTTAACAAGAACTGATTAGGGACCATACCCATGGAACTCAAAGGGAGATCAATTACCCTTTCGGTAGATTAAGTACATGCCTAAGACATGGGCAAAACAAGGCACTGAAAACAAATTTTTTTTATGATTGAGATTAAAATTTTGAAGCTGAGCTGTCCAATATAATAACTACTGGCCACATGCGACTATTTCATTTTAAATTAAAATTAATTAAAAATTCAGTCCCTCAGAGACACCAGCACATTTATAGCCGACATGTGGTTAGCGCAGATATAGAACATTTTCATCATCGCAGAAAGTTCTATCGTCCAGTACTGCTCTAAAGTGTTTGCCATTATGGAAAAGAAATTTTAAAAACTCATTGAATTTCCTTACACCTATTTTATGATCTGGCATCTTGTTTAAGTTTGAATTGCTCATTTAGGATAGAGGTGAGAGCATCATACTATTTTCAGTGCCTGGAGACCTCTAAAGAATTTAATCTGACCTTGGCCAAAAGGGTCCTTAGCAGCATTTATAGGCTTGCTCTCTACCCCACGCACCCCATCAATAAACCATCACTCCAGACAGTCACCCTTGAGCACTTCCAATCCACCAGACCAGACACTAAGCAGGCGCCTCAGCTGGTTTCCTAGCAACGAAGACGCGACCCCGCCCCTTCCCGCTTCCCCCTCCTACCTTATTAGCCTGGAAGGGGCGGGGCCAGGAGCCCTGCGCCCAATCGGAGGGGAGCAGAGGTGGGAGTCCGGGCCGCGTCCCCGTCGCTAGGGAAACCGATACAGCTTGAGGCAGTTCGCTATGCCGAGCGCTGAGGAGCCCGCTGCGCTCGCGGCAGAGAACGCGGACGAGGAACCCGGCGCCGACCCGCGACTGCGACTCCTGGGGGCCTGCGTGGCCCAGATCCTGCGGCCGGCTGCGGGCGCCTGGGAGCGCTGCGCGCGGACGGCCGAGGGGGAGCAGCTGCTCCAGGCCTTCTTCGGCCGCGATGCAGCGGAGGGGCCGCGGCCGCTGCTGGTCGTGCGGTCCGGGCCTGGGGGCCTGACGATGCAACCCGGGCTGGACGCGGGCCCGGGGGCGGGCTCACCTCGCGCTAAAGGGCTGTTCTTCTTGCGCACTAGGCCCGAGCCTCCGGGGCCCGACAGCCTTCGCGGCGCAGTGCTCTTTGGGGACCTGCCCGCGGCGCCTCTGGAGCACCTAGCAGCGCTGTTCTCGGAGGTGAGGGTGGGCTGGTGGGCCCGGCGCTGGCCGGAACTGGGTGGGGGAGGGGAAGGGGAGCGGCGAGGGCGGAGCTGCTGCCAGGGGGCGGGGCGAAGCTGCAGGGGCGGCTCAAGGGGCGGGGTCATATGCAGAGGGGCGGGGCTGTAACGGGAGCGCTAACCAGGAGCCAGGAAGAATATGGGATGGGGTGGGGGTGGCGCTGGAAACTAAAACTAGGAGATGACATCGAGGCCTGAGTGGGTTGAGTGAGCTGGAAGACGGGAGCTGGGGGAAATCTGGGTGGAGGCCAGGCCAGTGAGAATGCGAAGGGCCCAAGACTTGGGTCAGTCCAGGTCTGGGTTCAAGGCAAAGTCAAGTGGAGTCTGTAGTCCAAGAAGGCTGGGTCCTGACTACTCCACTTATTAGGTCAGTATCTCATAATCCCTCCTGTAAATTGGGAAGGACTGAGGAAGACAGGAAGTGAACAAGGGGGCATTTCTAATGCATCAGTGGGGTGGAAAAAGGTGAATGACTATAAACAGTGTTTACTTCTGGAGAGGAGTTAAAGGGGGAAGGTGGTTTGGTTTTGATTTTCATCTCATTCATTCATCACACAGCCATTTACCAAAGGCCCTGTGCCAACATAAAAAGTTGGGCATCCATTTGGAAATGCCCAACAGGCATTTGGAGGCGTCTGCCTGGAGCTCAGAGAGGAAGGTGGAGATGTGGATTATGGAGTGCTTTGGTGGCATCATAGCAGAAGCCTCGAGAGTGCAGGAGATTTCAGAGAGTTGCTCAGGAGAGATTCCTGGGCCACTTAGACCTTTCTGGAATAAGAGTAATCGTCCATGCAAGTTAGGCATGTGTGCTTCTGGAGGCTTGATGCCCTCCCCCTGTAAGTTGTGAAATAAATATGTACAGACTACTAGCTATATGGTGTTTCATGTAATAGGTGCTATGGGGAATACCAAAGAAATAGAAGACAAGTTCCCATCCATGTAAAGCTTACTAAAAGGAGCCAAAACATATGCAATAAATCATATATTCAAAATATGTAAAGCTATTATGACTGGGGTGGGAATAGAGCTTACCTAAAAGCTGGCCCCAGTGCTGGAGCCAGGTCCTGGAGGCTCCCTGCTGTATCAGGTATTAGCCCTTAGGTGCTTTATGAGGAGGCTATGGGGAGGGAGAATTCCAGGGAAGGGGTTGGATGGATAGAGGAATTCACCAAAGGCCCAAGGAAGCTAGGTCTTTCAGTGAATGTGGAAGTATTTCAACATTTTAACAATTGGAGTGGCCTTGCATTCTGGTGCATCATCTGAACACCATCCCTACAGAAACCTGGACTGAATTCTGTAATGAATGGTGTTGATGGAAAGGACCTTTGGGTTCAGAGGAAAGAGATATGCCTGTGGTCTGAGAAGCACGCTTAGCCTTAAGTGTCGAACTGGCTCCTGAACAATGAGAAGGATGAGGATAAGTAGACAGCAAGGTAACTTTCAAGGTATGGGGAGCAGATTGAACAAAGGCTCAGAGACAGAACTCAACCAGTATAAGTGGGGGACAGTGGCCCATCTCAAAGTTGTGTCATGGCTAAGGAAATGCAGTCCGGAAAGCGAAAGTAATTTTAAAATAATTCGAATTCTCAAATGTTCAAACATTTTCATTGGCGCATTGAAAGAGATTAGAGACAATGTTCATCGATAGAGGACAGAGTGAATGAACTATGGTCCATCTATACAGTGACATACTATGCAGCCATTTAAAAGAGTGATTGATAGAGAGTACTCCTTAGGGTAATTTTTTTATCATGGCAAAATAAAAAACCCACATAACATAAAATTCACCCACCCAACAGCTTCCTAGTGTATAGTACAATATTGTCAGCCAATACATGTTGTTGTGCAACTGGTCCTCAGAACTCCCCCATCCAGCATAGCTGAAACTCTACACCCACCCAACAACTCCACATGCCCCCACCCCTAGCCCCTGGCAAACACCATTCTACTTTCTGTTCCTGTGAATTTGACTCCTCATATAAGTGGAATTATGCAGTATTTGTCCCTTTGTGGCTGGCTTTTGTCACTTAACATAATGTTCTCAAGGTTCATCCATATTGTTCCATATGACAGGATTTTCTTCTTTTTTTTAAGGCTGAACAATTTTCTATTGTATCTATACACCACATTTTAAAATCTATTCATCAGTCATGGACATTTAGGTTGTTTCCATCTCTTGGCGATTGGGAATAATGCTGCAATTTAAGATAATTTTATAAAGAGGTACAGAATTGTATGCATAGCATACTACTATTTCTGTTAAGAAGAGAAAGGAGGGAAGAAGGGAGGAAGGACAGAGAAGAAAGAGGGAGGGAAGGAGAACATTCTTTAACAGAGTAATTAATCCACAAGCAGGGGAAACTGAGTGGCTGAGTTCCAAGGTTAGGTAGAAGACTTACTTTCCACTGGAAAAGCCCCTGTACTTTTAAAATTTTGCACCATGTAAATATACCACCTATTTCAAAATCTAAATAAAATAATTTATTTTAAAAATACCTCAAGTCCTTTACTTGTATTTCTCAAAGCCTGTAACAGTAACCTAGTCTAGTCAACCTTCTGTGCTCCCATCTACTTGTGTTACACACCCTGAAGCTGATGCAGTGTCGCTTCCAAACCTTGCTCACCTCCCATCTGCTAAGCCCTGTCCTTGCCTCCCAGCCCTCCTGTCCTCCCCCCTCACCTCTCTGTCAGTACCTGGTAGATCAGCTTAGCCTCCGACTACCTGTGCCCCTTTTCCTGCCACCTCACTAAAGCCAAAAGAACCCCCCTCCCTGCCTCCTGGCTGAGAAATGTCTTCCTGCCTTGTACACACCTTGTGTGTGTGTGTGTGTGTGTGTGTGTGTGTGTGTGTGTGTGTATGGGGGTGGGTGTTGACAAGGAGAGAATGCTATAATTTGGACATTATTTTTGTCCCATTAAACTAGTACAAGGTAAAAAAAAGATGCAACTAAGAAACATTTCAAAGGAAGAATTAACAGAATTTAGTAACACATTCCCCTACTTCCTGTCTTCCTTCTCCAACTACTTCATTCACGGCTGCCAGGTTACTTTTCCTAGTTCTGAAACTTGGATGCTTTTTAAAATTTGTTTTGTTTTGTTTTGTTTTGGAGAATGAGCACAGGATTTGGAGTCTGACAGACCTAGATTCAAATCCTGGTTCTATCAATTTCAGCAGTGTGATATGAGCAGGTGAGCTCACTGGGTCACGTCCAAATTGTCTTGCCAAGTTGTTATGAAATTTAGACCCAATACATTAGAACACCTGGAACAGAGTGTCACATTGTAGGTGCTCCATAAAGGATGAGAATTATAGTCACACCACATCCCATTTAAAATCCTCCTCACTTCTCTGATCAATCAATCCTTGTCACTTTGCTCTAACCCAGCCCTGGCCCTTTCCGGAGGACTCAGCTGCATTTCCCCTACAGCCTTTTTTCTTGTAAGCCTGGAAGTGAGACAGGTGTCCTCCTTGCTCCTCCTTGCTCCTCTTAGATTCATGTTGAAAATCTTCCAGTTTGAATCTCCTGTCATCAGACAACATCATCCTCTCTTGTTGCTGCATCCTGTGCTGATGGCACTGTCCTCATTTCTGCAGGAATTTGGCTCCTAGCTCACTGAGACTTTCCCCAACATCAGTCTTGTCTTAATACATGGTTATTTCCATAGACACACGAATGATATTTCCAATAGCTTAGCCTCTGGCTTCCCTCCACCTTTCTCCTCCAGTGACCTTGTCCTCCTCCCTGTAGTAAGCACCCCATCCCGTGGCCACTTCCAGAGTGTACATTCCCAGTAAACAACATCCTCATGATCCAATTTCATGTACCTCCTTCTCAGACCACTACTTCCATCTCTCTAGCTCACTCCCTCTCATACCCTGACTACCACAGTCCCTTGATCCTGCTGGAGACTACCACTCCCTTGACCCTACCTCTTTCGTCTGTTCTGGCCCGCACCCATGGTCTCTCCCCACTACTCAGCTTCAGGACCACAATCCATCATTATCATCGTTCCCTTGATCACCTCCTGACTCACTGGCTTCCACTTCACTGTGTGTCATGCTTGTTTGGCAAAACCACAATCCTGGTGAAACCCAGCACTCTGCATACTTCATACCTGCAGCCTTGGAGCTGAATGGCGCTGGGAACAACCAATTGATTCCACTCTAAACTCATGACCTTGAACCTCTAGTAGGCTTTTCATGTTTCCCAACAGATATCCTATTTTTTCTATTCCAACTATTTTCTTACTCTTTTAGATGACTTTCACAGCTTTGTTTTTTCTTCCCTCAAATGTCCAAAACCTCATTCAACCTCACTCTGAGATGCTCTTGCTTCTTTCTTGGTTAAAAAAAAAAAATGGCAACAATAGAATAAAATTTCCACAAACTCTTATATCTACCTTGTCTACGAATATCTACACTCATATTCTCTGTGACCCCTTCCATTGCTACAGGTGGACTGTCTATGCTGTCATCTGATGCCAAACCAACCCTAAGATTAAAATGCCTCTTGTTCTCTGAATCCTGCCCATTCTTGAGGCGGTCACTCTAGCAATTTCCTCTTCTCTCCTCCATTCTTATTTTCCCCCCATTACTATATAATTCCCATGAAATGAAATCATTTCCCCCTGCCAGCTATCACTCCATTTCTGTGATCCTCTTTATATCAAAATTCCTGGAATGTGTCTCTTCATGCTGTGTCCCATTCTTTTCCTGATTTATCTCATACACACTCAACAGGCTTTTATTCCCACACTTCACAGAAGAGTAGTGAAAGAACTTGCCAATATTTCCGGTGATCTCCACTTGAATAAATTGGCCCTTAATTAGTCCTCCTCCTGCTTGACCTGTGATCAGCATTTGTCCCAGCTCACAGCCATCCTCTCCTGCCACAAGCACTTTCTTCATTTGACATCTGGGACACCAGTCTTCTAGTTTCCCATCGTGATGGTTCTTCCTCCCCAGTTTCCACTGATGGTGCCTCCTCTTCTTCCCAACTTCCTAACGTTGGAGGGACCTAGAGCTCAATTCTTGGACATCTTCTATTTATTCATCTTTCGGGGAGCTCTCATTCAATTTCAAAATTTTACAAACCGTCTGTATCTGACACCTCCCAAGTTTCTCATCTTCATCCTTTTCTTCTTCTCTGAACTCCCAATTAGCATATCCATCTGCCTCCTCCATGTCTCCAACTTGAAGTTCCACAGATATGTCAAATTTTAACACTTCCAAAAACTAGCTTCTGGTCTTCCCTCAAGAACTTACTTCATCCTTATTCTTCCCCACATTAGTTAATGGCAACTCCATTCTTCCCCAAATGTTGGTGTCATCCTAACCCCTCTTTTCTCTCACGACTCCAATTTATTAAGACATCATGTTGGCTGTACCTTCAAAATTTATATAGACTCGACCATTTCTTACCACCTCCACCACTACCCCCTGTGCCATGCCACTACCTTCTGTATCAAAGCACTACTTGCTCCCTGAGCTCTTCTTCCACTTTTGCCCCGCTAGAGTCTTCTCATCACAGCGGTGAGTAGGCTCACTCAGAGAGATGTCAGATCACGTCACTCCTTTGCTCAAACCCTTGCAATGATGTCCATTTCTCTGAGAGTAAAAATCGAAATCCTACAGGCCAGGCTGCATGTGATGTGAGCCCCTTTACCCACCCTTCTCTTCTTGCTCACCCTGTTCCAGTTTCACTGGTCTTCACACTGCTCCTTGATCACACCACACGTGTTCCCACCTCAGGGCCTCCACACTGGCTAGTTCTAGTCCTTCCACCTACAATATACTCCCCTGAGGATATACAAAGCACTCCCCCCCATCTCCTGAGTCTGTGTTCAAATGTTGTCTTCTCCGTAAGGCCTGTACCAATCCCAACATTTACAATGTCAACCCCTCCACCTCACACTCGTGGTCCCCCTCACATGCTTTATTTTTATCCACAGAACTTATTGTTTACTGACTGTCTTTCCCTTGGAATATAAACTTCATGAGGTCAGGAATTTTTGTCTGTTTTGTTCACTGAGGTATCCTCCAAGCCCCTAAAATAGTACTAGCACATAACAGATGCTCAATAAATACTCATTGACTAAATGAATGAGTAGCTTTTCACTTCATAGAGTTCACATTCCTTATTTTTCTATCACTCAAAGCCCTCAAAAATCTAACCCAAACCTACCTACCACTTTTTCCTCAGACAGCACACATTCAGTTATTCTATAAACCTTGGAATGCTTCCTATATGCCAGACCCTAGGGAGTACTGAGGGTATATAAAGACCAAATAAGACACAGTCTCTGCCTTTGAAATTCTAGCAAAATTCCAGTTTATCCTCTTTCCCTGTTAGTCTTTCTGCCCTGGGCCCAAAGGGTCCTTTCTTAACATGAATGTGACAGAACTTAATTTGTGATATTTTCTTCCTTTTGAGCTCTCTGTTGACTATCTGTTGTAAGTTCTCAGCTCAGTAACTACCTCCAGAGAAACCAGATGAGGACCATCCTCTAGAATTTAACACGCTGGGTCCAGGCGTTCTATTTCACAACCACCAGGACTTGTTGGTCATACACAGAACCAATCATAGGAGTCCATATTTCCTCTTCATTATTTACTTGGTAGCTTCCTCATCAAATCACTTAATCATCTGTCTTTCTGGCGTTCCTTTCCCATTAGTTGTGAATTGTTTACAGGCAAAGATTCCTAGTGAGTTGTATTGACAACTTCCTATGTTGCTAGTAATAGAAACTCAATTGAAACTAGCTCAGAAAGTTCAAGAGCAGCTTCACTTAACAACTCAGACAAAATCACCAAGATTTGGCCTTTCTCCATCTATGAACACTGTCTTCGCTGTATTTACTTTATTCTAAGGCTCCATATGGTCACAAGATGACCACAAAAAGCTCCAGACTAGTAGAAAAGAGGTGTCTCTTCCTCTAACATTCAGATAAGAGACTTCGGTCTGACTCTCATTGGCTCAGGTGTGGTTACATGTCCATCTCCAGATTTGGGGACGGATACCAAAAGAGAAGAGGAGCTACCCTGAGTGGCCAAAATCAGCTAATGTTCACCCTGAAGGTGGATTTGAGATCCACAACTTTGCTTGCTTGTTTAAGGTGCCCCCTTACACCACCTGTAGACAGATGGTCACCCCTACTACATTTGTCCTCTGGCCTTTGTGTCTGTTTCACTCACCTCCTATTCAGGAGGGAGAAATTCTTGCCCTAAGGTAATGGGGTGGCTGAACACAGAACACCCAACACAGGATAGGTGACACTGATAGAAATTTATTAGTCACACATACTCACAACCCAGAAGAGGAGGACACGGTGCCATGCAGGGCCACACGGGGGTTGCACTTGGGAATAGAGTGAACAACCAGGAGCTGTGGGAGGCACACTTGGTGGTATCAAGAGGGCATGGTGGCTACGGTTCCCATGGAGGACGTGACTGTCTTGTTTGAATGATTACAAAAGCTAGCAGGGAACTGAAGCCTACTGCTCAAGTATAAGCAGGAACTGTATCTGGTCCTCTAGATAAAGCAAGTTGTTTGGCCAGGGGACCTTATCCACAGGAGCAGAGTGAGGAGGAAAATTTGTGGGTAGACTATTTGAGGGTCTCCTGATTTTGCTACAAGGCTGTACAGTGCTGTGACCTGCAAAAGGTTGTGTACAGCTTTCTGGAGGTTTTCCAGAATAGTCTTTCTTTAAGGTTGCAGGAGCGGAATGCCTGTGTTTCTTCCCTGTGCACCTCTGTTACAGGTTGTTATACCCGTGCTGGCCAATGAGAAGAATCGCCTAGACTGGCCCCACATGGTATGTCAGGATGTCAGGCGGCACGCCCACAGCCTGCAGTGCGACCTCCTGGTTATCCTTGAGCAAGTGAAGGGGAAAACTTTGCTGCCTCTCCCAGTAGGCTCAGAAAAAATGGAGTTTGTGGATTCCAAAAGTGAGACAGTGTGAGTACCGCCAGCCCAGCCACATGGGCCTTGAGATAGGGGAGAAGCTGGTTTATCGGAATGTTTTCCTCATGAGTTTTCTGTTGCTGTCTCTGGGTATCTCCTCGTCCCGCACACAAGCCCACTGTCTGGCCTGTTTGCCAACATCCTAGGACTGTATTCTTGCACTGATTTCTTCCCTCACCTCAATTCCTCTGCCTGGAGTCTTTCAAGGCTATTACAGGAACATGGCCTTTTTGCCATTCTGCATCATCCCGGGGCTGAGAGTAACCACACTGGATTTCAGTATTTTGCTGATCAGGACAGTGTCTCACCGTTGGCAAAGCCCCGGGTCCAGTCTTGGGAGGCACCTCTTGCCAGCGTCTACTCAGTACAAAATGTCACAGAACCCACCCTAGAGGCTCTTGTTACAGTTCCAGGCTCTCCTCCCCAAGCAGCTGAGGACTTTTTCGTGTCCCGTTTTTTTGTTGTTGTTTTTTCTTTTTTTCTTTTTCAAATAAAAACAAATCTGGTTTTGTTGAGGCCTGGAGTCCATGTCTCCCGTCTCCAAGTGGGCATGAAAACTTCAGCGTCCTCTTCTTTTAGAAATTATATTCACCATCAGCTTCCACTTACCATTCTGGCTTGGAGCTGTCTTTGTTTCTATCCCTTGAGGATTTGCTTTTCTTTCAAGCCGGGCTACATATAGAAATACTATATTTTGTTATATTTTATCCAGCATTTCTACGTGTGTGCGGCAACAGGCGGCCTTCCTGTATGAGCTCGGTCCGCCACATTGTCAGGAGTTTCCCAGGGTGTGGCTGCCATCACTGTGTATTCAGGATCTGTGGTTTGATGTGAAGGATCAGTAATGCATGCAATGGCAATGTGCTGTATAATGAGTTTTTTCTATTGGAAGTAATTTGCTCCATATATAATTTGAAGTAATTTCCTAGTTAACTGGAAAACTTACTGTGTTTTAATAAAAATATTCAACTTTCAAAATAAATAAACTCAAACTACCCTTTTTCTAGTCCCTTTATATTTCAGCTTAATAATATTCAGTGTGTGTATATAATCATTGCTGAGTTTGTTTCCCTTTGTTCAAATTTGATAATTTCCCAAAAGGCTGGATCATTTTAGGGGAGGTATCTTCCCCCTTTAATGTCTTCCACAATCACTTGTGTCATATCATTTCTCAGCAAATATGAATTTAATTGGATTAAGTAAAGGTGGGTTTCTGACATGAAAATGTGAATGATAGGCCTTCTTTTCTGGGTCCTTGGTTCTTGACATGTACAATTTTCAGTTAAGACTGTGAAAAAACAGCCAAAATGCATATTTTAAAAATCTTTAACCCCTTCCAAACATAGCTATTGGTTTTTAAAAGGTGTATGGGGTGGGGGAAGGTTTGGGAATTCCATTCTTCACTGGAAAAGTGAGGACAAAGTGAAATTGTGATGGTGATATTCACGTGGTTGGTTGTTTGGCTTGTGGAGGAAGAAATAACTTATTTCCTCTTGCTGCAGCAGTCATAACTAAGACCAAAATGAGGAAATTGCAGGGAGATGGATGTGATTCAGTGCACAAACTTTCTTCTTGGGAGAGCCGACCCACTGAGGAATGCACTGCATTTTTGAGTAGGGAGCTTGCTGTCACTCAAGCGAGGGCTGGGTAGTCACCTGAATGTTTTCTGTCCAAGGTATTCCTGTACTGACAGGACAACATACTGGCATTCAGAGTTCTTAAACTAGTCTTCAGAATACTGGTGAACCCCTCAATCTGTATGAATAATGTTGTACGTACACACACATAAGCATTTCTTTCTGGAGAGAGGATTGTACATTTCATTGACTATTCAACAAAGTCTATTATCCAAAAAAAAGGTTAGATGAGCCAGATGGAATTTCCCACCTATTTTTAAAAGATTTGGAATGTGTTTTGAGAGGTACCCAGGGTTGAGTTTTTTCCACATTCCAGGAGATTTCTTTTATCTTTCACAGCTCAGATGCCATCGATAAGTCAGTCATCTACGCCATTGAGTCTGCAGTGGTCAAATGGAGCCACCAAGTCCAGATGGTGCTCAAGAGAGAGTCTTCCCAGCCACTCTTGCAGGGGGAGAATCCCACCCCTAAGGTGGAGCTGGATTTCTGGAAGAGCAGGTAGGCAGGAAGGTACATGCTTAGACCCTGGGGAGAAGATGTTTTGCAGAGGATGCAGCTAGAGCTGGCCTTGGGAACCCTACCACTGAGTCTGATTCATCCCTCCAGGTGTTTCTCATAATCCCAAGGGCAGACAGCTCAGTGACATTGGGTTGGTACAGTTTTTCAATGGCCTGAGAGATGCACACTTTCCCCAAGATTCAATAGTCATCTATCCTTTCTTGGTCTACCATCAGTACATCTTCTGACAGTTCTTCAAAGGCTCTTTTAACTACATGTAAAATTAACCAACTTTTAAAAACATTTATCCTCTAATTGTCTAATCCCTTCTCCTTGGACAGTTGAGGCCAGATGCACACACCATCTGAAGAAAGAGAGGTTTCTAGAAGTTGGATGCAGAACAGCCTGTCCTAGGTCCCAGCTTATCCTTAGCAGGGCTGGAAAGTCCATTGTGCACTGTTTGTCCCAAAGGCCTCATTATTGCTCCTGATCCTGCTTCTTCCCCCTTCCTCCCCATTTCTTTGCTCCTAGTTATCACTGGGCTGATAAGTCCTTTACTCAAAAGGAGACAGACAGATGTTGGAGGCAGATGTCCCTGTCCTGGCTTTAGGTGGAGAACATCCCCGTCACAGGACCAGGCGTGCCTGCAGGGCTCCAGCCATGCTGAGATGCCCTATCCTCTTGCCTGGTTTCTGACCATTTGCTGACCTCCTGTGAGGCCCTTCTCTTAGCACCCTTGCTCTGACAACACCTCCCTCACCCTGCCCCAACCTTACTGCAAGAGCTAATGACCTCCAGCTGCCAAGCTTTCAAGCCACCAGATGGTCACAGCAGTGTTTCCTGGAGCTTCCCCTTTGACCCTGTGTTCCAGACTCAGGCTTATGCCCTCGCTGTTCTGGGAACAGATGTCTCGGCTCTTTGGGCAGGAGCACAGCCTCTGTGGAACACCCCGAGGCAGGGCTCCTCTCTTTCTCTCTGCGAGGACGGGTCATCACAGTGTGACTTGCATTTCCTTGTGCTCACCTGGATTTGCCCTTCTCTGTGGTACTGCAGGTCTGAGGATCTGGAATACATTTATAATCAACTGAGGATGATAAAAGCGAGGGGCATGGCTGGGCTCCTGGACAAGCTTCAGAGCAGCTACTTCCCAGCTTTCAAAGCCATGTTCAGAAATGTCGTAGCAGGTGAGGACCAGCAAGTATTTTTACAAATACATTTGACTCAAATTTCTTCTGGAGTGTTGCATTCACTTCTCTTTGTCTGATTTCTGCAGCTTCAAGTCCTTATAATCTTCCAACCTGGCACAATGTAACATGGTGGCAAGAATACCAAGTCTAGAAGCAGGAGAACAGCTAAACCGCACTCTGCAGTTCCACTGCTGTGCGACCTTGAGCAAATTCACTTAACCTCTCTGAGATTCAGTGTATACCATAGTTATGGTGCCCACACTTCCACCTGTTTCTCTGGGTCCTTGTGAGATACTATAGGTGGAAGACCTTTGTTGACTGAAGTGCACTGTAAAAGGGCATGTTGTTACCTCTCACCTCTGCAATTCAGGTCCCTGTACCCTTGGCTTCTTGAGAAATCTCTATTCCATTTCTAGCTCCATTCTGCTTTTTCTCTTCCTACTGTCAGATGGGACTGCAATTTCCTGGCCATCTGAGCACCAGACAAGATCAGCTCTTATCAAAATTGCTAGGCCAGCAAAGCCTATGATTAGAAGTAGGTAAATTTTGTCAGAGCTCCCTCTCCCATCATTGGTGCACTCTGTTTCTTCCGCTTTTTCCTATCAAACCTCCTCCTTGCCCTTCAGTGCTGTAGGTCAAAACGTGCTTTTAAAGGTACTTACAATTTCATATGGTTTAAGCTTGATCTAAGCACTGATTTTCAAACATTTCTCCTGTCCCAGAACTCTTTCTTCAAATACAATCTCCCATGTAAGTCCACATGATAAAAGAAGTCCACTAGATAAAACTAGTCCAGGTATATTTGCTCATTAGAGAGGGTGGCATCCTGTGTCCAGATCCACTGGCTGATTCCTCATCCCACCTTCCCCCTCCCTGTGGCATGAGGTTTGCAAACCACTTAGCTAAGGGAATAAAAGTTCTGGTGTTGGCGTTTCTGCCATGGGCTATATAACAGAAAAGAACTGGCATAAGTTGTTAGTCTTTGAGGTCCTTCTGGGCCCTAAAATCTCATCGCAGAGGCTGCTCTGCCAGCACAAAAAGCTGGTTTGGAACAAGATGTCTCTTGGGGCCTGAGTTTACTGCTTCGCCAAGAGATTCTGTGTCCCAGAGGAGAGGACTGTTGCTCCCAATTTACATTTCAATTCAAATGGACAGGTGTCTCAAAAAGTGGTGTGTGTGCCCCTGTGGGTGTGAGAAACAACTGTGGGAAATATACAGACAGGTATTTTTTAAAATGTGTTAAACAGTGAAAACCCTGTTTTGGGCAAGTGATAGTAGTTTTCCATTTATGGTAGTGATTTAAAGTTTTCATTTTATATAGTTTTCGTTAGGTTAAAGTGAGCGTCCATTGAGAGGAACATATTAAGTAAGCGGTATGGCACTGCAGATTGCACACATACGTGACATGTGAAGGAGGCATGAAAATGCCTGAAGTTTGGGGCTCTGAAATAGAACTTGTAGTAAAAGTACTAGTTAGTTATTTAGTGCCCCACATATATTTTTCACATTAACAGATTAATAGACCAAAATCATTCACATGGATTAATCGGCATAAAAGATTCATTTCCCCAGGCCAGCTTCAAAAACTCTTTGCAGTAGAGTATATGCTGGCAATGAAATAAGAAAAAACAACACCATTATAATAGTACCAGATAAACGCTACTCTGAAAGTAGAAATCCTTTAAATATGAAAGTCAATTCTAATGATAGAAGAAAAGAAAATTTGATTAGAGGTGTTAGGTAGAGACTTGGTCAGAAAATTTGGCAGGATCTTCTAAGCTGATGGCTGATTTTCTCATTTCTAATTTAATTTCGGAGCATGTGGCTTCCTTATCCTAAATAGATATACTCTGTGCATTATTCTTATTAGTCATGATCAGGGTAGTTCACTGGTTCACTGATGGGCTGAAGAGCAGGAAAGGAAATGGATCTGGATCGGTGGGCAAGGAGGTTAAAAGGGTGGAGGAAAACATGTGGGAACAGTATTGTACGAAGTGGAATTAATTGAACAATAAACAACCTTGGAAAACTGGAAGCAACAATCCCTTTGAGGAGGAAGAAGAGGAATAAAAACTAATTAGAGAGTTCTCTTCTCTTGGACGGGACTGGCATAGTACAACCTGGTTGCCAAGTGTCTTAGCCCATTTGTGCTGCTATAACAGAATACCCCAAGCTGGATAATTCACAAAGAACAGAAATTTATTTCTCTCTGTTCTGGAGGCTGAGAATCCAAGATCTGGAAGATTTGGTTATCTGTCAGGGGCTGCTCTCTGCTTCTAAGATGCGCATCCTCCCAAGTTATCCTGTAGCCTAGTCAATCTCCTCTTAAAGGCCCCACCTCCTAATACCAGTACATTGCATTAGGTTTCAACACCTGAGCTTTGGAGGCGACACATTCCAGCCAAGGGTGTGCGTGGGTGGCTCTGTGTGGGCAAGAGGTGAAAGTCCAGTGGTGTGCTAGGGCCAACTGGTGCTGGTTTGCAGTGGCTCTTGAGAGGACACTGTATGCTTTTCTTTTTAACCCTCTCATCTCCAACCTCCTAGGAAACTCTCAATGAAGTCAAACTGGTAGCTTAAAATCGACCATGGCATGAATATTGGGAATGTTCATACAACAGAAATTGGCAAATGCTACAAATAAAGGCATTTGTCCCCAAAGAGTCTGTTGTTAAAGATTTACCAGCAAACCACTGGACATCACTGTGCAAGTGGCTCTTTACATTTACATGTTTTAAAAAGATGTGAACCTAGCTCTGTCCATCTCCTTTTCTTCATTTGCTTTGTCAGCCAAGACTACTGCACCCTGGACCAGATGGCAAACCCTGTTTTCTCAAATATTAGGCTCTTAACAATCAAGGCAGTGCCTACTTCTATGATTAAAAATTTCACTTTTAAAAAAAGGCTTCAAAACAGAGTTTCTTAAATAGAAAGTTCCCTAGCGTGATGCTCTCAGCCTGCTTTCCATCACAGCATGTATGAAGGCTGGAGCGTATGCTTGGGAGAGTGCCCGTTGCATTCTGCATTCTGCATTCTGCATTCTGAAATCTCTCACCTCAGCGCTGTGGTTCTAATTCTCACCGTCAGCTCCTCCACCTCAGAATCACCACTCTAATCAATTTACTGTGGCATTTGAGTTTCAAAAATTCGATTCACATGCTGCTTCCCGTAAGCTAATTTGGGGTCTAAAGCACAAACATACATATCGGCAACCTCCGGTGCAGGGCGAGCCTCACAACCATCCAGCCAGGCATTCGTCGTGATACGCTTGGGGTCATCTTCCTTTTGCTCCCCTGGGTAGGACTAGTCGATTCACGGAATGGCCCCAGGCAAGTTATTTACATTTATAATTTCTTCATTTGGAAATTAGGAGTCCTGAAGCTACCTCACAGGGGTTTCTGTGAGGTGGTCTCTGTCTAACAAGCAGAACAATTCCTGGCATATTGAAACTGTTCGCCACATGGCATAGATTCTGAATTTTCTTTAGGATGAAAGCAGAGCCTCATCCACATACTATAACCTAAGACTGGCTGCTTTCATATGACACCCCCTGATTATCCGCCCAGGAAAGAACCAGCCTTCCTAAGCACTGCCGTCCAGTAGTACCATCGGTCTGTGCAGTGGGCATTTGTGTTCCCTCGAAGCTGCTACGCAGGTATTAGTGTCCAGTGCTGCTAGGTTTCCTACTTTCCCCTCGAGTTACCACAAGACAACTGGTTAAAGGCCCCTCTTTTTCCTTGGCTATCTTCAAAAGAGATGGTAGGAGATTTCCCTGGCCTTGAAAACCAGCAGAATCTCGTAGTAATCAGCCTGTGCTATTTCTCTATGACCTGCGACTTCTTCCGTACAAGAGCTCTACATCAGTGAATACTCCTCAGAGACACCACCGTTTACCAGACACCATCTCTGGTCCAGGCACTGTGCCAGTTGATGAAGATCTCGTCTGTGCTCCCTTCAGCCTTCACGAGGACTCTTTAAATGAGTTCCACCTATTTTTGAGGCTCAGAGAGGTTAAACATGCCCAAGGTCATACGATTGCTAAATGTCTGGGCCAGGATTTCAAGGGAGGTTTTTCTGATTTTAAAACTTGTCGTCGGTTGTCTATTTTGTATTATTATGGAAATATCAGCAGCAAAGTAATTAGCAAATATTTCCCGAGTGGCGTTTCTACTACACATTGAGCACCAGACTGGGACTGGGAGGGCCAGGGAGAAATCCCGATAGAGGAACGTTGTGAGAAAGAACTCCTCAGACCATTACTCTAGTTGTTCAGGGCTCTCCAGATTTCCAGATGTCTGCCTAAGAGCTAGAAAGTTTCTGGAACCAGGCTTCTCTCTGCTTTCTCGGTCTGGGAAGAAATTGCAGTCATTGCTTTGCAGATCTTTTGCTTCCCAGGGACTAGGGCTCCACCAGGTGGGTATGAGCCTCAAGCAGGGAATGGTGACCATCTCCAATCCCCTCCAGCTCTGGCAGAGGCTCAGGCTGTCCATGTGCACCTGGTACCACTCCAGCGCCACCTGGAAACCCTCGAGAATGCAGAGTTTCCAGAGGTGAAGCCCCGGCTGCAGCCTCTGCTCCACGTCATCTGTCTGATCTGGGCCACGTGCAAGTTCTACCGCTCCCCAGGGAGGCTTACCGTGCTGCTTCAGGAGATTTGCAACCTTCTCATCCAGCAGGTGGGCCGCCTCGGGATTCCCAGCAACCTTGGGGCTGGTTGGCACCACGTCACGGGAAAAAGTCAAGGGTGCATTTTTTCCAGGCAGGGAAATAATTATGGTCCAAAGAGTGCTCACACTTGAATTACAGTATTTTACTCTCACAAGCCAATAATTCACAAACACACAAAGACATTTGCTGTAAACCTAGCACACCTGGGAGGCCCAGTCTTCTTTTCCCCTCAGCCTAAGACTGAGGATGGGGCAAATTGTAGGGGTGGTGAATTTCAACCTCCTTAATGATCTGTACAGAGGAATTGGTAATAAATTGGCAGCAAAGCCTAGCAATCAAGAATGCAGCCTCTGAAGTCAGGCGATCCTGTACGAAGCCCTGGCTTCACTGCTTGTCAGCTATGTGAGCCAGGACAAGTCACTTTCCGGTTCTATGCCTCACTCTTCCCTGTGCAACAGCGAAAAGAAGAGGACCTATCTCTTTTTGGGTTGCTGGGTGATTGTGAGGCTTCAATGTGATGATGCCTATGCCCTGTAAAGTTTAAGGAGGTTTGGGTGATCTTCCCCCCAAATTGGCTTCTTTTGCCTCTAAGGAACTATGACCCTGAGAAAACAATGGACAAGCTTAAACAGTCACTCGTAATAGCTAATGTCCATGAAGCACACTACAGGCTGCGAAGTGCCATTACATTCATCACCTCAGTCAGTCATAAGATAAACTCTGAGAGATGGGCAGGGAAGGGCTTATTATTTGTGGGTATTATTTAAAGATGTGGGCTACATTTCAGGGAGGTTAACTGACTCACCCAAAGACACCCAAATCAGGACTCAAATCCACCGTTGTTTGACTCCTAGGCCAGTACTTTTCCATCATGTTTATCAGTCAGAACTCTTTTGGTTGAAAGTGTAAGAAAACCCAACCAAAAGTGGCACGAGCAACAGAAAACATACTGGTTCATGTACCTTGAAATCCAAGGTAAAACTGGCTTCAGCCCTGATTTGCAATATGGCCTTGGATGATGTCACCATGGCCCAGGACCCAGTTATCTCTGCCCCTCTTTCTGGTGATAAAGGTGGCTATCCTACAGCTCCAACTTCCTCGCTTTCCAGGTTCAAGTCTCTTGGAGACAGGAAAACAATTAATGGTCCAAAGAATTCCTATGGCGGAATTATTTTACTATAGAAAGTCAGTAAGTCACAAAAGAACACCTGCTCCAGCCTCGAGCCCAACAAAAGTCTCATTGTGTTTCCTTGTCTCTGAGTGATCACTTGCCCATTCCTGAGCCAATCACTGTGGTTTCTGTCCCAAAGACTATTTGGCTTAAGTCCAGGTCCCAGTCTACCTGTGGAACTGAGTGTGGGGTCAGATGTTTCCTATATTATGCTTGTGAAAAATATTACTTGGGCAATGATTCAGTTCAGAGTTGGTGTTGGCAAGTTTTGGGATATCCTGCACCTGCAGCCAGGCTCGGTGACACTAATCTGTTTGCATACCAGGCCACTAATTATCTCAGCCCAGAAGACTTCCTGAGAAGTGAGGTGGAAGAAAGTCAGAACAAACTGCAAGTGGTCTTGGACACCTTGAGCTTCTTCAAGCAGGTGTTTCAAGACAGAAGGGAGAATCTCCACACTTACTTCAAAGAGAACCAGGAAGTCAAGGAGTGGGATTTCCAGTCTTCTCTGGTCTTTGTGCGACTGGACAGCTTCCTGGGACGACTGCACGTGGTGGGGGTGAGTGTGCTCATCACCTCAGCCCCCCAGCCCCATGTAGCAGTAAGCAGTCCAGGTATTCAAAGGTGGAATAGGAAAATGAACAACAAAACCTGATTGCCAACCCTCCATCATTTGGAAGAACCCACAATAAGGCCTCAATGATTAGTTGTCATTTGGGTTGATCATCACATAATGGTTGTTCTAGTAGAAGTTTAGGAAATTCTGATCATAGACCCATTTAGGAAGAAGACCCAAGTGATCAGTCAACTTAATTCAGTTGGTTTGCAAATTGCCCATAGACTTCGAACTTTGTTTCAAATAAACCCTGACTGGAAAGTCCAGTGTGCAAAATGAAAGTGAGCAAATCTGGGTGTGGCTGGACATCCCTCCAAAGCTGGCTGCTTTAAATGTCTCCTCCATTCCCCAACCCTCACAGTGGCTCCCAGACTCCAAAACTAATGTGTCCCTGTGCATAAGAAACATGACTTTTGCTCAGCGGTATGTCTTTCCCTAAAGTATTTAAAAATTAATGTGAATTTTGGTTTAAGTACTAGAGTGAGAAGACAAGAGGCTTTTTCTTTTGATCATTTCAATCCTCAGAATTTAACATGGTTGACAGGTCTTTTAACATTTTACAGCTATGCATTTGCTGATTGAACTTAGAGGAGAGGGTAATGGGCATAATAAAATGAAATGCATACTTTCAAACTGATTTGAGAAATTCAGAGTCAAGTTCAAGTTAGGACAAGAACCAAGGGGTCAGAGAAGGAATGAGAATCATGTTCCCAGCTGTTATTAGCAGAGATTTGAAGTGAAGAGAGGTGTGTTGCGAAGAATCTGTGATGAACAGAACAAACCACGGGATGACAAGGATAAGAGAATACGAATCTGTTTGTTTCCCTTCAGAAAGTATCGATCCATAACCAAGCACCACGCACTGAGCAAGATCCTGAGCTTCAAAGATGACTGAGATATAGTTTTGCCTGTAAGAAATTTATGGACCTGTAGCCATGACATAGGAACAGGCAGATAGACTGATGGAGGAGATGACGGGGCAGACACAGAATCAGGAAGCTTTAGCGAGGTATATTGAATGCCATAATAAAAGTAAAATTGATGTGCTGTTGGGAGCGAGAAAGAGGGTTCCCTAACCCAGCAGGGCTTTGACAAAAAGTGGGGAGAAAAAGATGAAATCAGCTTTGGAACTGGAAGGAATTCACCAGAGGAAAAAAAATGGGGAAGGGCAGAAAGACAGAGAAAATGTGTGAGAGAGAAAGCCAGAAGCTAGCTCTTACCAAGGCACACCTTAGCTCCTCCACAGGGGTCACGGAGAGTCTAAATGATTGACTACCCAGCTTTAGCTGCAAGTCCTCCTTCTCCCACCATAGCTCTTGATGCAGGACTCTCTGCTGCTCCCTGCACTCTTTCGTCCTCTCCTCTCTCCCAGCATCACCTCCTGTGCTGTTTTGTTTAGCCACAAGTGGGGAACACTCCGGCTCCAAGCTGCCCCTGGCCTGGGCTGAGCAGGGGAGAGAATCACCATCCCCGCTTTGCAGCCGCCAGGTTTGCAGGCCCTCAGCCCTGAGGGTGGCCCTGGGAATGGCAGCAGAGCACGACTGCTTGGGCAGGGTCCTCAGTTCCTGTGCACACATGCTAATGATGGGACTTTGCATATAGACAGATATTCTAGCGTTAGGGCGCCTAATCTGCCGGTTATATTCAGTAAATATAAGCAGCGATGGCCCCCAGCTTCCCTGGAGTCATTACCCTCACAATAAGTCCTCTCAGGCCGCTGCTTCTTTCTGAATCAAGGGCGCAGATGCATAAAAAGCCGTTGCCCCGTTTAATTAGAGGCTGACTTGAATGTCACCATGCTGCCTTTCTGCTGCTTCCCTTCCTGAGTGTTCTCCCCTTTGCTCTGGTTTGTTTCTTTGCTCCTATGCCCGGCTCCTTCCCTTTCCGGAGTTTCTCCTTTTCCTACTGCCCACCCTTCTCTCTTTTCTTCTCTCTCTCTTTTTTTGTAGCTTCCATTACCTCTTTATCTGCCCTGAATTTTCATGATTTTTCTTCTTCCTGCAGCTGCATCTTGCCCCCTTTCCTTCTATTTCCTGCCCTCTTTTATTTTTCATCTCCCAAACATTAGCACAGAACATCTCCCTGCCCCTGCCATCTTCCTCCTCCCCCGTCCCTCCTCTCCTCACCCCCATGCAGTGGGACACAGGTCATAGCTTGTCCTCTGGCATATTTTATGTAGCCCTTTAGTTAACATTCTGTGAATCTCTGTGATCGATGCCTGTTTGAAATGGGATTAATCTGCTTCTCTCCAGCAAGAATTAATGCGAACTTAGCCTTATTCATCTCCTGTTCTAATACAATTTATGGCCCCTGCGATGATGGTAGCTGCAATTAATAAATATATGAAACCAAATTAATGAAATGACACCAATTGCATTTAGCACTCTGCATGCCCACGTCAAGGGTCATAGTGTGAAGCGCTGGTTCTTCATCTCCACAGTTCTCCCAGATTTCACTCCTGTGATGTATGTTGCTTTTTTACTCTTTTGCTCTTTTGCACAGGAGACTTTTGTTGTGTAGATTCACTCTTCCCCTCTGGGTGCCTGCTACCTGGGGGTGGGAGGACGGCTGGGATGGAGGGGTATATTGCTGAGCAGTTTTCAGCCGGTCCTCAGTATGCGGAATAATTGCATTCTCAAGTTGCCACCATCCTCCTCCTCATCATCACAGGGGTGATACAGCTTATTTGTTAGAGATCTATCCCTTGTGGAGGGAAGGGAAGAGGAATAGAAATATAAAGAACTAGCATCTTTCAAGAACCTATCTCATGCCAGAGCCCGTAACCCTGCAATCATCTTAAGAGCTATGTATCAATACCCTTAGTTTAATATATGGGCACAATTAAATAGGACACATAAATTAACTTGTCCATAGTCATCACATAGTTGGGACAGGGTTAGCTGGGACTCATACCCAGGGGCATATGGTTCCAAGTATTGCCATTTCAGCAAAGTCTGATACCTTCCAGGGAGTTGCAAAGGTCTGTTTCCCTCCCTCCCTCCTTCCTTCCATCCTTCTTTCCCTTCCTGCCTTCCTACTTTCCTCCCTCTGTCCCATTTTGATGATCCCAAACTGGTTTTGTGGTTTATATTCCACCCTTACACACTCCATTCTACCTTTGTACGCTCTATTTTTACCACATGATTTCTAGGGCTTTTTATCTAAATAAATCATTCGGGTAAAATTGCAATTCCCATTCCACGAAAGGGCCTTATTTGACTTTATGACTTACTAAGGAAATCCCAAAAGTATACAAAATCTTTGCAATTTGAGCAAATAGTCAAAAATCGAAGGAAAAAGAGTCATTTGGTCGCCTCTTGATTATTTTTGTCATCCTGCCTTCCTGCTGGATGCTCCAGCGTGGGGACACACACACACACACACACACACACACACAGTTCATTTTTGTGTCATAATATTGTAGATGCTGCAGATCCCCTGTTTGCGTTTCTGCCTGCAGCCTCTTTCCTCCGAACGGTGCAGTAAGCACCTTGGAGAGAACCCTCATTTCTTTCATTATTAAATTGCTGTAAAGCTGTGATTCACTTGGAGACAAAATGATTTCCTGCTGAGGCTCTATGCAAAGTGATTAGCAGGTAGATAGGTAATAAGCTGACCTAATCCACACCACATTTCCTTTTGCTCTTTCTACCGTCTCCAGCCACTCTGCAGCCTCCTTTCATTCCCAGCCTAATTGGGCGGCTTCCCTTTTAGCCCGGCTTGAACATGTGGTCACGAAGGAGACCATTAGCTGCATCAGGTCGGTGGCAGTCGAAAGGTAAAGAAAACAGTCTTTTTCCAAATGACCTTTTGAGATTTTCATCTGCGAATGTCTGCTTTGTGCTCTCCCTTAATGAATTCCGAAGACATTTCTTTTAAGATGGGCAGCGTGACCTCTGCCTCGAGAATGCTGTTGGTGGGTCTTGCCATTACCCCTGGTTTTGATTCTTCATCTCAGGAACCAGAGCACGGATTGAACCCTCCCTGCAACCCCCCCACCTGCCACCACCATTAAATGTCGCAGTTTTTCGTACGAATAGGACCCAATCAGTCCAGTAAGCTGCCTGGGACCCCAGTGCTGTTTGTACTGTCTGTCTCCAAAGGAGCACCGAAATGTCCCCTTTATAAGCCATTATGCATCTAATAGCCATCAACCTGAGTGAATGACATCAGGGCGATCATAATTAATTATAGTGGCTGCCATTTATTGAAAGTTGACAAAGGCACTTTCCACGTGACTCTGTAAACCCATGGCAAGTTAAGTGTTACTGTCCCCATGTGCAGGTTAGGAAAGTGAGGCTTAGGAGAGTTGGGTGGCTTGCTTTAAGCCACAAAGCTAGCAAATGGCAGAACCAGGATTGTGTGAGCTCGGGGCTCTTTGGCCCCAGATCCTGGTCTCCTCCCATGACTCCATATGTCCTCTCTCCGAAGCTGATATTTTCAGCCTGTATATAGCATGATAAATTGCATGTGTTTACTATGGTGATGAATAAAAATAGATATTTTAAAAATATCATTTAAACCTCTTACTGGCTTAAATGGCCTTTTATCTGTTTTGTGGGGACTTTTAAATAATGAAAAGAACTTACATTTAAACAATTTAAGAGTTGAAGACGTAGCCTTGGTCAATACAATGATTCTGTGTCTACAGTTGTGAGACAATTTCCCACCTGCTTTAGAAATCTTTTCTACAATGCCTCTGACATAGAACTTATATTGAAACTCATCCAGTGGTGGAGAGCTCCCTCCCTCTATTCACAGCCCATTCTACGGGTGGACATGTATAGGCATTAGATGGTTCTGTTTTATTAAGTGGAACCATAGGAAATTGCCATTTTTTAGGTCAAAATGATCACATATCAGCAATTTCATAAGTTCAGCCTACATGGTGAGGCCAAATTTACTTCTCTGTTCTGTTCACTCATTTGCCCTCAGAGTAGCTTGGAGGCTTCTACCCTGCACTTGATGAAGGTCTTTTAAACACTGAAACGCCTTGCTTCTTAATTCTCTTGTCTTGTCTGATTTCCTTGTTTTCACCAACTGCGCTTCAGAGGTCATGGTCCCTAGGTCCTCTATCATCCTGTGGCCTTCCTCTGAACATGTTGTAGCTAAGCCAAAAAGCAAAGAGCATGTATTCCTTCATTCAACAAATGTTTGCTTAGTGTCAGGGACTCTCCCAGGCACTGGAGATACCAGGATACCTTTGGGGCATTTACAACCTACTGGACGGAAAATAAGCAAAGAATATAATATAATGCCAAATAATATATTACAATGCCAGCACGTGATAAGAGCTCTGAAGAAACTAAAGCAAAGGGAGGAGATAGAGAGTCCAGGGGAGGATGGATGTGGTGCCTCATGCCTGTAACCCCAGCACTTTGGGAGGCAGAGGAAGGAGGATCCCTTGAGTCCAGAAGTTCAAGAACAGCCGGGGCAACAGAACAAGACCCCGTCTCCTCAAAAAAATACACAATATTTAACTGAGCATGGTGGCATGCACCTGTAATTCTAGCTACTCAGGAGGCTGAGGCAGGAGGATTGCTTGAGCCCAGGAGTTTGAGGTTGCAGTGAGTTAAGATTGTTCCACTGCACTGCAACCTGGGTGACAGAGCAAGACCCCATCTCTGAAAATAGAGAGAGAGAGAGAGAGAGAGCGGGAAAGAGAGAGAGTTTGGGGGAAAGGTGAGTAAGGAGAGTTCTTTTCGTGGAAGGGCGAAGAAAGGCCTAAGACTTTGAATTGAGCCCCAAATAAATGTGTGGTCTACCACGTGTATGTTAAGTTAGATGAAACAATGTAAATATCCATTGTTTTCAGTGACCAGACTTTCCAAAAGTAGAGTAGTTAAATAAATGTTTCTCCGATACTCAGGGTAAATTGGAGATGAAACACCTCCCAGTGAGTCCCCAAGACTATGCTTCGAGTATTCTTGAGAAATAAAATAGTGTAACAAAATTGTTGCCCAGTTTTCTGATGTAGTCAAACATATCAAAATGCATCTGTCTCTTAAAATGGCTAGGTAGTATTTCCTAAAAATTGAAATTGACATCCACAGAATTATGAAGAATGAGTACCAACGTAACATTTCACAGCACAAGTATGTCTCTCCCTATAAAACTGATTCCAGCTAAGCACCTTATGAGAGATTTGAATTACTATTGAAGTCAATTTCACTTCAATAAAATTCATTTCCATTTTCTTCCCAGTATATAAAGTTGAACTTAATTGTAAATAAAGATTGCCTGTTTCCCACCATTGATGACAAGAGCCCCTCCCTGATTTGTCTTCCCTTCCTTGGCTAGTGTCTTTCCTCTTCTCCCTTCTCCACTTTAGCTACTTACTGCCAGCCACTGAACACCGCTAAGCAAAAACGGGATTGTGAGATGGCTGTCCAAGCCTGCACAGGTACCCTCCTGGGAAAGCAGGGAAAGTCAGCGCTTCTCCACACTTACTGGGGCCTCTGTCACTGCTGCTGGACTTGGTGTCCCAGCCAGAGAAAGGAGCCAGGCAGCCTGTGCTAGCCTGATGGGTCAGCCGTAGTCGTGGCCATGGCAGGGGGAATTTCCTGCAGTGGTAGCAGGGCCTGTGGGGTTTTGTAACATCGGTGTCATAGTGCACCTCCTTCAACCCTCCAGGGTAGGGGACCCCCTCCCAGAGGCCCTTCGCAAAATGTTTGCTAAAACGACACAAAGGTAACATTTACCTTACTGTTTCCTGTTCAAGGGGCATGTACACAGACTGGAAGTCGTGATGGGAAGCACATCTTGGGTTGGAGGTTTTGTGATTTTAGGCGGATACTCATGAGGGGTAAGTTCAATCTGCCCTGTTAGACGTGCTCAGGCGGCTCCTGTCCTGTCAGAGGTGAAGCAGCTTCCATGGACGCAGGAAGGGCTCCTCCTGAAGGCTTGCGGGTCGTGTTGTGTACCTGTCATTTAATGCCAAGCACAGCTGAAACGCTGCCACATCAACATCTGTGACGGGAATACACTGGTGCCGCGAATTTACCACGTGCCTGGCACTGGCCTAAATCCGAGGCCTGAGCTGACTTGCTTAGCTCTCACCACCATGCCATGGGTGTTGTTATTGTCCTGTCGCAGATGAAGAAACCCAACACAGAGTGGGTCAGCACCTGTCCACTTCCACCCAGCTGGCACCAGGGCGTGGCATGCTGTGCATGCCTGGCAAGGCACGAGCGCTCTGCGGGGGATTTCTTTCCGCGACAGAAGAAGTCGCCAAGAAGGCTGGTGTCACCCCTGGGCTTGTCCTCGGGACTATTTGGAGGATCCGCTTTCCTGTCAACATCCCCTACGATAGCTGTCATTCTAGACCCAGAAAACATGGTCCCTTTGAAATGAACTATTTTGTAAAAATCAATGGTAAAGGCACCGATCATGTAAATAGTTTTGTTATTGTTATATTTTATTATTTATTAAAAATCACAAAGTCAGAGAGAAGCTGAAGCATAAATTTTACTTATTTATTTAGTTATTTTGGTTTGTGCGAATTGTATTTGTCTGTACTTTCTCTTTGCTTCGTTACTGGGTTTAACCAAGAGTTATTTTTACCAACCCAATCTAATAATAAGGTTACAGAACTAATCAGGCTTCACATTTTCCTAAGCAACTACCACCCCCATATGGTTTCCAGCTTCTCCCATCCACTGTTGTTATGATTATTATTACTATTTTAACCCTTTTGTGAACTGTCCCCGTAGGATCTTCTGAAGACAGCCTTGGATTTCCACAAACTGGGAAAGCTGGAGTTTAGTGGCCTCCGAGGGAATGCCCTGAGCCAGCAGGTCCAGACAATGTACGAGGAATTTCAAGAGATGTACAGGGTCTTCGCAGAGTCCTCCGATGACTGCCTGGACCTCCAAAGCATGGTAGGGCTTGAAAGGGCTGAATTGCAAGCTTTGTCTCTTTCTCACATGCCTCTTGTCCATAGGGTTTAGGTAGTTACTTGCATTTTTCCTGTGCATTTTCTTTGGCTTTGTGATCCCAGTGGTTTTATTAATTATCCTTTGTGTCAGGAGAAATTATTATTATTCCTTGTGTCAGGAGAAATATCAGGGAGAGAGGGCCTTTTCCAGCTGCTAATTGCTCTGGACTAATGACACCCCGGGTTTCAATGATACCCAGGGTTTCAGAGATGCTGAGGTGGGTATGAGATGACGGTGGGGCTGGGCCACCCTGTGGCTTCAGAAGTTTTAAGCTAAGTGAAATAAGCCAGACCCAGAAAGACAAATGCTACATGATTCATTTACACAAGGCATCTCAAATAGTCAAATTCACAGAAGCAAGTAGAATGGCAGCTGCCAGGGCAGGAGGGGACAGGGCAATGGGGGTGCTGGTGAAAGGGTACAGAGCTTCAGTTGTGCGCGATGAATACGTTCTGGAGATCTCATGTAAGTCATGGTGACCATACTTAACAATTTGAAGCACACTGTGTTGTACACTTGAAATTTGCTAAGAGGGTAGATCTTAAATATTCTCACCATAAAAATAAAAAAGAAAATGGTAACTATGTGAGGTGATGGATATGTTACTTAGCTTGATTATGGTGATCAATGTATACGTATATTATAACATCACATTGTACATCTTAAATATATACAGTTTTTATTTGTCAATTATACCTTTGTAAAACTGGAAGAAGAAAGTTGTAAGCTTCCAGCAGAGCCAGGTATACCTGGACAGGTTTTTATTACCAGCTTGGGGAGGGAGGGGGATGTGAAGCCTCAGCCTAGTTTTTCTGATCAGAACCTAGTTCCCCACAGAGTACTTAGGATGAGTAAAGGAAAAGGGGCCAGTGTGGAGACACAGAATGACATTCCCTGAGAAGGGACTGGCAGAATTACTGGAGAAGGAATTTTAGGAGTATGTGATGGAAAAGGAGAGAGAAATCAGGACAGGAATCTGCTCTGTGCAACTTTAGACAGAACTAAAATCGGGGAGATCTTATTGGCCAGACCTAGGATGATTACCTCTTTCTAAAAATTCCATTAGTCAAAAGTAGGATTAAGAAGTGGGCTGCAGAGCTAAAAGGCAAGCTGTATACAATGTGTTTGCTACCATGTAATAAAACAAAACAAAAAAAATCCTGTGCACAGGGAAAAAACTACAAAGAAATGTACCATAATGTCAATGTGGCTGGGTTTTGATAGTAGAACTATACTGTTTTTCTACTTTTTTTTTGTTTTCTTTTTTCATATGCATATGCATTACTATTGTAAAACAATAACAACAAATAATTCCACAAATTAGATATCTGAGTTAACAAAGTTTCTCTGAAATTGCTACGTTCTAAGAAGGAAAATGCACTTTGGGTTGCCAGATAAACTACAATAGTTTGAACATACTAAAAAAAAAATTCACTGTTTATCTGAAATTCAAGTATAACTGGGTACCCTGTATTTTTATTTGCTAAATTTGGCAACCTTAGTAACAATGGCTAGTTCCTGTCTTAATCATCCAGAAGAAATAGTTTGTATTAGTTTAATTAGCTGACTTTCCTGCTAATGGCTAGATTAGTCTGAATACACTGAAAAAATAGGATTTGGACTACTTTCCTAGGAAGGAAAGTAAGGGTAATGTTGGAGTAGCCCCATTGTAGGGGCTATTGCTGCTGAGATGGTGTTTGGGGTACTATGAGCTGGTATTGTGGGTGAGATCGAAGGGCCTTCAGGAAGAGGAAGAAAGACACACAGAAGGGGCTGAAGGGACACCAACCTCACATTTGATTTGCTTCACCATTCTGCCCAGAGCCCCCAGGTAAAAATGCTACAATAACAGAGTCACCCTCCACATGGATTAAAAACTAAGTCATACCATGCTGAATTTTAGAAAATTAAATTATTGGTATAGCCAGTTGAAGTGCAAAGGTTAGCAGCAAGGAGCATTGTGGGACTGGCTTTCAGAAAATCATGTTTTTCTTACATACATATGTGGTGTGTCCTCAGGACTTTGAAAATGGCATTTCCGAATTTAACCGGAGAGTGGAAGATCTTGACCAAAGATTGGGGACGATCTTTATCCAAGCTTTTGACGATACGCCTGGTTTGGAGCACGCTTTTAAGGTTTGCACACGTGGAGTAGGAGCCACCCCTGTCCTGGATACTCCCCCAACCTGCATCAGAGGACTGTAGGGAAACCCTTCCCACTGTGTTGTTCCTGAAAATATTAATTATACTCATTAATCTGGTGGAGAGGGACACGAGTGTCCTAGGGCAAGAAAGTGCAGAATTGGGATTCTCAGGCTCATTGCACATGCTTTTCTGAAAACATGACAACGTAAAACTACTTTTATTTTTTCTTCTTCTTCTTTTTTTTTCTTTACATTGCACAAGACTGAATAAAACTACTTTTAAAGAGAGTTTCTTCTGTAATGCTCTTCTTAGGCGACACACCTTTATCCATAGGGTGACCATTAAATGTGAGAAAGTCCACTGTAGTCACCATCCCGAAGCCACAGCTCTGCAATCCGTGGCCAGCGAACCACTGCTGCGAGGTTGAATCAACCTGCGAGAGAAGAGGTGATAGGTTTCAGGCATCAGTGACTAGAATAAGACTTGCGCTCTGAGCCCTATCTTGCCCAGATCAGGTAGTACAAAGAGTATGGAGGGGACTGCTTGGGACGATGAGTAGATATATGGCTGCACAATTGAGAATGCTGAGTCGCGGAGACCTGGTGGGGTACAATAGGTCTTCTATAAGCTACGAAGAGGCTCATTCTCTAAGCAGTGGAAGTTACGAGGAAATAAACTTTGGTTCAATAGAGGAAAAACATTTCTGTCAAAGCTGTTTGAGACAAAATGGACTTCCTGGACAAGAAGTTAAGTTTCCAGTCACTAAAAATGTCCAAATGTAGACTTTGTGAGTGGTGGGACAATTGTAGAAGGGGCTTCAACTCTGAATGGGTGGATCCACGCTATTCTAGAATATTGGGTAACCCCGATGTGCCAGGCTTCATTAGCAATCATCAAGTATATATATATGCTACATATAATAAATACCTGCTGTTGTATATAGGAAGACTTTTGGGATTCCCCTTTCCAATCTTTTGAATTCTGAGGAAGGGGCTTACAGTTTATCTACAGAATGATCCTACATGCCATTAACTGTCATGGCTAGTGGAGACTCTACCACTCAGATAACTTGTGAAGCTGGAGCTCCATTCATGTGTTGAGGAAGCTGAGCCTCACCTATCCTGTAAATCCCTCTGCACCAGGGATTTCAAGGAGTCTTCAAAGGAAGCCTCACATGTATTCTCAAGTAGCTCTGTCTTTGGAATCATTGTGCATCTTTACTACATGTCTACAGCCTCCCTTGGAAATTTCATCCACCCAGGAAGGTGCTTGAAGGAGTCTTACCATTGCTCTTCTGACAATTCCCACCATGAAAATGTCTGTGTTTGTGCCCAAGGGCATTTCTCTCTGGGTTCCAAAAATTCCAGTCCTTGAAATTTTATGGTGGAGTAGGGTTCTGGGCAGAAGTAGAGGGAGACCTTTCCAACTTTGTGTCTGGTCCCCAAAGCAGCACTGCTTGTTCCCAGAGTCTCAAAGGGCTCTCACAAAATCAGATTCTTTATATTCTGACCCTGACTCCTCTTCTCAACAGGGCTTCTAACCAGCCCATGGGAACCATCCAGTCTTCTCCTCCTGCTTTGTTTCTCTCTTTTTCGTCATCTCACCACCAAGAAACCAAAGCCCCTCCTTCTTCCTTCAGCCAAAGCAAAAGCTCCAATGCATATAAGTTCATGCAAAGAAGTTCTCTTTCAGGTTGAGGAGTAGAGCCAGAGAGACCACCTGACTCTGGATCCTCTGTTGCTGCTGTTAGATGGTCCCACTACCAGGTGTGCCCTCGGTGGACATGAACAGACAGGGCACATCCAGGTCAGAGACCTGGAGTCAGAGGATGCAGGCTGGCCACAGTGGTCACTTGGTGCACATGTCTGTACCTTCCCAACAGGAAGTGGAGACAGATGCAGAACTCAGTGGAGACCCACTGCCTGTGCATCCATCAAGCCAGAGCTACTTTCTACTCCAGAGATCTGGGTGATCATTTTGTGGGCAAGAGGGAGGTTCTAGAGCCTTCAACGGAAGGCTCTTAGCATGTTTAGAGAGTCTTTGGAGTCATTAAAGAAACCTGGCCAAACTGTTGGACCTGGAAAACATCTGAATAGGACCTATATGTGGCTCTTCTCTGCCCTGGACAATTCCCCATGACATTCCCTGAAGACCCAGGACTTCTCAGAGCCATCTAAGTTCTGAGTCCATGCCACCAGCCCCTGGAGCTTGCCCTTTCTCCAGGCTTTGAATGTCATGAAGCAAAATGGCCCAATGTGAAACGAGGTGGTAGAAGAAAGAGCATGAGGTCTTAGACAAATGGGGTCCACTCGGCTTCTGGGTTTAGGATATGTGGATATCACTTTATATTGTGTCTCTTGTACTTAAAGCAAGCATTGGAAAACTTATTTCTTCAAAAGACCAGATGATAAATATTTTAGACTGTGGGCACATATGTTCTCTATCATATATTCTTCTTTTTTTTTTTTTTAAAAAACCTCCTTTTTGAAAATGTAAAAACTGTACACTAAGGCCATGGGCCAGGTTTGGCCAGGTTTAGACGTCCACTGCTGTACTCTGTCAACACCTGACTTGAAACACAAAGTGGAGATGAGAAGTTATAATGGAAGGCAAGTTCAGATGCAGTGTACTAGTATATTCTAAATGTGACTGGAGTCCTATATGGGCTCGTCTCAGGGCAGCATCACAATCAAAGAAACACAATCCAGGAACCAAAAAGTAATTAACAGCATTTCATGGCTCGATTCTGCTGCTCCAGGAAACAACACCAAGGGTGTGGAGCAGTTTAATGCACAGGAGAACATCTTCGGACTATCCCCAGCACCACTGCCATTCTCAGGGCAACTGCTCCCTGAAACATTTCTCTTATTCCCACTCTCAAAGCTTAGCCCTCCAAATTTCCCCGACAGCCAGCCCACTTAGCGTCTTCCTTTTCTTTTCCATCATCACCTTCCTTCTGTTTTAGGTTTTTATTGTGTAGCTCAACTTAACCTTTCTACCATCCTAGTTTTCTGTTTGTTTTACTCTTTGTCCAGATTTTTGCAACAAAAGAGAGCTGGTAGGTAGCCCAGCAGGCAGGAGTCCTCCTTTAGAAGCAGAGGAGAGGGGAAAGACTGTGAATATCCACATATTAATGATCACCTGTCCAGCCCCGCTCTATTACATTGGCTGGCATACAAAGTAAAAACCAGGAAACAAGATCTATGTAATCATAGAAAGATTTAATCTGTAACTTCTTTTCTCTCTTACCTCTGCCCTCTCTATAGCTGCTGGACATAGCAGGAAACCTCCTCGAAAGACCACTGGTAGCAAGGGATGCATCTGATAAATACCTGGTCCTTCTCCGAATGTTCAGCAAAGAGCTGGATGCGGTGAGGATGATCTACAGTCAGCATGTCCAGGAGGAGATAGAACTTGGTAGGCTTGTTGCAGGAGATTTTGATGGGGAAGCTCTGTTACTGGGAAGAAGAAACTCACCCATATTAAGTTTGTTAAATGTCCATCAGTGGGTCTATAACATTCTCCAAGAAGAGCAAGCACAACCTTCTTGCTTGAAATTCCAGACCGTATTGGGTGATTGTAGAGTTCACTGAACTGTGGATTTCCCTGTATCTGGGGCTGAGATTGGCAGGCTGACCTAGAAGGGTGCAGTGTGGACCACCTCTGGTCAATTGAGACTTTGGCATAATGTATGAGTTGACCCTTGATCACTGTCGCCACACTGACTAATCGTCAACATACCTCAATTCCACCGTAGATTTTCACATTGAAGGGAAAGTTCCTTATCCCTTCAGTGCCGTAGTAATCGTGCTTCTGGTGGGAGGAGCCCCAGGAGCCTGCCCAAGGGCAGTACCGTGCCACTGCGTGATGTCTCCATTTTTATTACAATGCTTAGATGCCCTGACTTATTTGTTTGAAAGTCAAAACACAGGTTCATTTAAGTTTTAGAAACATTTCTTGAGTCCTTGCTGTATGCAAGGCATGCTCGTGGGCACTGTATACAGCGGCAGGTTGGGGTAAAGAATAAAATAATTAATCCTAAAAGGTGGTTGTTCATAGAATGTGAGTAGTACCGGGCTTGAGTTATAAGGAAAGGTAACAAAGTAAGATGCAGGTGGCTGGGAGATTCGAGCCTGTGTTTATGGAGAAGGTGGTCTGAATCTGAGTCCTGAAAGTTGGGAGATTAACAGGAAAGGAGGGGAGGCAAAGGCCCCCAAAGCAAAGACACAAGAGGATGTGGAGGTGCGGGTCGGGGCTGCCTGCAGTGAAACAAGGAGCACTGAGGGACATCAAGTCAGCCACGGAGTTCAGGGTCAGCTTGTGAGGTGCTCTGAGGCCGTGTTAAGGGATTTGGACTTCATTATTCAGGCAAGGGGAAGTTATCAAATGTTTTTAAGTAGCTGAGTCACAGGACCGCTATGCTTACAAATGAGTTTCAGGGTGAGGTCATTAGGAATTGCCAACACTTAGAAAGTCATTCCCAGAAGATCTGTCATCACTCAGCTTTTTGTGGGATTATCCTCATGACTTCTTCTTCTTTTTTTTTTTTTTTTCTCTTTTTCCTTTTCATTTTTTCTTTGAGACAGGGTCTTACTCTGTCACCCAGGCTGGAGGGCAGTGGTGCAATCATAGCTCACAACAACCTCGAACTCCTAGGCTCAAGCGATCCTCCCACCTCAGCATCTCAAGTAGTTAGGACTTCAGGCGTGTGCCACCATGTCCAGCTATTTTTTTAAAATTTTTTGTAGAGATGGCATCTTGCTGTGTTGCCCAGGCTGGTCTCAAACTTCTGGCCTCAAGGGATCCTCCTACCTCAGCCTCCCAAAGTGCTGGGATTACAGGCATGAGCCATAGTGCTCAGCCTCTATCCTCATGACTTCTTACAATCAAATAAGGAGTTTGAAAATTTAAATGCCTTCAGAGGCTGAATTGGTTTTCTGTTGCTTCTTAACAAGTGGCTGCAACCTTGGTACCTTATAATGACACCCATCTTTCAGCTCACAGTTCTATAGGCCCTAAGTCCTGCATGGTGTTTTGGGTTCTCCACTCAGAGCATCCCAAGGCTAAAATTGAGGTGTTGGCCATGCTGACGTTGCATCTGGGGGTCTGGGGCAAAGCTCTATTCTGTTGGTAGAATCCAGTTCCTTGAGATGGTAGCAATGAGGTCCCCATTTCCTGCCGGCTGTCAGATAGGGCCACAGTCAGCAACTAGAAGCCACCTGCATTCCTTGCCACAGAGCCGCCTCCATCTTCAAGCAAGCAACAGCACATTAGATCCTCTCATGCCTCAGATCTCTGCCTTCCTCTTCTTCCACGAGCTGGAGAAGACATTCTGCTTTTAAAGGGCTCACCTGATTAGGTCAGGCCCACCCACAACCCTCTCCCTTCTGCCATAGGACATAACATGACCACAGGAGTGAGATCCCATCATGTCCAAGCCCCACCCACACTACAGGGGGGAGGATTATGCATGGGTGAGGGTCCTTGGGGGTCACCTTAGAATTTGCCTGTCACAGAGGATAAGCAGGAAATGAAAATAATGGACCTGGGCTGAGCACGTGACCCCGGGGAATGGTAGAGCCCATGGTGGGAAAAAGGAAGTGGCCACTCTTGAGCTACAGTGGCTAGTTGCAAATGCCAGCTGATTTTTGCCAATCTTCTAATGTTACCAGAGAAGCTCAAAATGAGATTTTTTAAAAAAAATGAATTCTCACATTTGTTAAATCTTGACAACTGATTATAAGTAAATGAACCCAACGTATGAAGTACAGTAAAAATATCTAGGCTGCACTCACCCGGGCCAAGTGCTCCATAATCCACATGGCCTTTCTTATTCATAGCCTCATGGAATTCTCATTGGAACCTTGGAAGTTAAATAAGCAAGAAAGATTAACCCATTTTATAGAAGAGAAAACTGAGGCACAGAGAGAATAAGTTGCCTGTATAAGACAGTATTTCTCAGTTCCGACTGTACAATTAGAATCATCTTGAAAGCTTTTAAAAATATCCATGACTGGGCCCTGCCCACACTCATTACCAGAATGGCTCAGGCGGGGGGCCCAGGTCCCTTGATGTGTTTCTGTTTTTCTCAGGGCCACTCTTCCGTCCTGTTCAGCAGAACTTCCCAGGAACTCCTCAGCGTGAGCCTGGGGTGACTTTAGTCAGGAGGTAGATGAGACAGAAGTGGAGAAACTGGCAGGAGGCGTTCCTAGGGCGGAGAGGGCTGGGGACTCCAGCCTGGCTTCAGTCTGGTTGTGCCGTGTCCCCAGGCTTCTCCCCGGTGCACAAGAACATGCCGGCCGTGGCTGGGGGCCTCCGCTGGACGCAGGAGCTGAGGCAGCGCATCCAGGGTCCCTTTGGCAACTTCAGACGCATCACACACCCGTGAGTATCTGGTTCCCGGGAGGCAGGTCTGTTTCAGGCTGCTGTTCCTGTCTGGATCCTGAGTGCTGTAGACACGCAGCTCACTTACACGGGGCCTGAAAATCGTCTTCGTGTCTTTCCGCTTCCAGCAGGAGACCAGACACCGACGGGCCAAGCACCACGGATACGCCGGGGCCACTGAGCAGATCCCTTGGTGTTCGGGGGGGCCTGGCAGGACACAGGCTGGCTCCTGTGGCTCTGTGGGATTCGTTTCTGGAGGAAGATGAGTCAGGGATGCCAAGCTCTGTGGGGTCCTTCACAGTGCTCCCTCTCACATAATGTCTCTTTGCTGCTGAGGCCGCTGGAAAATAACGAAGCCCGGTGTTTCCCAGAGTACGGTGTGAGGACCCCGTGTGTGTTAGGACCACCCTGGGGCACTTGTCAAAGACGCAGGTTCCGGGGCCTCACTGTCACCTGCTGAATCCGAATCTGGGCTGTGAATCTCCTTCTTCAACAACCTCTCCCTGTGGTTCCCATGGTGACCAGGTTTGGAAACTGTTGGCTTGCTGCACGACTGAGTCCAGAAGCCGAGAGAGTTAGAGGCTTCTCAGCCGCTCAGAGTGAGCAAGAAGAGCTGTTCGCACTGTCTGTTTAGGATGCTGCCTAAGGAAGAGCAGTCTTTCTCTGACTCCTCTTTCTAAAAGACTTAGCCGTGTTGAAAACACCCAGTTTTGGAAAACACAGCAGAAACAACTGGAGTTTGGTCATTGGAATCTTGGACTTTTTGGAGTTAGTGCCTTCCACTGCACTTGTCCCTGTGACTTCCCTAACCCATGAGGAGACGGGCCCCATGCGAGAAGCCTGCTCTGCTCCGGCCTCGTTCTTTTCCAGATACTGAGATCTAGGGGTCGTGGGGCTTGTGGAAATGCCACAGCTTGTGAGGAGAGAGAGCCCATCGGTCTGAAGCACTTTCCATTGCTGTGTCGCAGACGCGTCTGCCCATTCATCACAAAAGGAACCAAGCTAAGCGACTGGGGAAGAAAATGCCAGCAAATCCAGTGTTTTCTCTGCAGGCGTGAGGGCTTACGTGGAAAGCTCCAGGGATCTGGTGGAGAAAGCCTGTGTCGGTTTAAAGAGCAAATGGATTTTAAAGAATCTTTGCAATAAGCTGCTTCATTTTGCTGGCAGGACAAACAAAAACAGACCTCCACACAGTTAGCGTGAGGGTTTCTGAAAATTAAAGATACTTCGCCTATTTTCCCAGGAGCTGGACCCTCATTTAGTGTTGGAGCAAGTGTCAAAACCAGGGGACACAACTGTGGGTAGCAGTGCCTCGGGCCAGACTCTGCTCACGGTCCTCTGTGCTCCCCAGCATTCCTGAGGAAGCCTCTGAGTGTGTGCGTGCACACGTGCATTTGCATGTATGTGTATGTGCATTGCATGTGCACACATTTGGGGGTGAGAGGTGGAAGGGACTCTCATATAAATGTGTCAAGGAGTGGAGGAGTGGAGGTGTTTCTGATCACATATCCTAGATGAATTTCAGAGAAGGGAAAATATCTTTATATATATGTATGTGCATATATGCATTGGTATATATATATATATTTGTATACATATATACGTAGGTGTATAATGTCATATGCAGTCATGCATCTCTTAAGACAGAGATATGTTCTGAGAAAGGCATCGAAGGCAATTGCATTGTGTTAACATCATAGAGTGCACTGATACAAACCCAGATGATGTAGCCGACTGCACCCCTAGGCTATACAGTACAGCTTATTGCTCCTAGGCTGTACAGCTTGTGATTGTGCTGGAGGTGATGGTCATGATGTTATGATGGCTGTGACGTCACTAGGCAGTAGAGTTGTTCAGCTGCATTGTAATCTTATGGGACTACTGTCATATACATGGTCCATTGATTGAAACGTCATTATGTGGAACATGACTCTACATAAATTAATAGTTTTTTTTTTTATTAAATACAGAAAACTATATTATCTAGAATTTTTCTTTAATATTTCAAATTCCTTTTTATCCTGATCTTTGAAGGCCCTCATTTACCTTGGGCATGACTGGTACAGCTAGGTGAGGGGTTGGTGGAGCCATAAAAAGGTTATGAGATCTCTCTCACCTGTGGGGCCGCCTGCGTTTTAGGAAGTGCAGATGACCTCTAGTGGCCAGAGGAGGATGTTCGGGAGGAAGAATGCAGGCTCTTTTAGGTGCATTAAGAAACACCAATCCAAGAAGCTATTCACTCTCTTTATTATAGGTTGCATTTTGTTCCTCAGATAATTATTTTGATTTCTTCTAATTCTATGTCATTCTTTTCTTTTGTACGGATAGTTGCATGGAATCTGCCGAAGGAAGGCGAATGATACAAAAATATGAAGACATGCTCTCATTGCTGGAAAAGTAAGCAGCCTCTGGGACTGTACTGTTCTGCAGTTGCATAGCCTCCATGATGCCTTTTGCAGTTCTGAGTTTGTGCAGCTTCCTCAGTGGCTCTGAAATGTCACTCTGTGTTGTATGTTATAACCATGATATTTGTGAATACAATATTTCTGGGTTGCAAACACAAGGTCTCCGGGGAATGCAGCTCTAGTCTAGAAACAAATACCTTCCCAATGTAGTTTTGCTGTGTGTATGAGCTAGGAGAAATGGGGTGCTACTTATGGCACCCCAACATCGGAGTCCTGGGAAATCGCATTGGCTGTTCACTAAGCAGAAAGCAACAGTTCGTGCTGCACAAAGAGAAAATAAGTTTTAAAAATACTTCCTGTATCTATGGAGAAATCATAAGAATGAAAATTTTATATGAGCTTATAGCTGCTCTTGCTTCCAAGCAGAGTCTTTCGGGGCCGCAGGGTCTAGAAGCAGCCGTGGGCTTGCCCTCTCCCTCTGCCATTTGCTCTCTCTCCTGATTCAGGAGAGAAGGGTAGGGAACATTATGGTTGTGCTTACGACTATGCTTAGCATTGCTTTACACAAATCAGTTGGTGGCACCTCCACTTGCCAGGAGCACCCCATGCTCCACCCCTTTTCCCTTCCAAATAGCTTCAAGTCCATCCACTCCTTGTTCTCTCCACCACCAGCGTCTTGACAAGAGCCTGGAACCTCTCTGGTCTGAGCTGCTGCGGCAGCTTCCTCATAGGCCTCCCTGCCTCCAGGTCTGGGCCCCTCAGTGCTCACACCATCACCAATCCAGTAACGCCACTGCTCCCCCCACCAGCTGGGAGACCTTTCTGCGGTCCCTCTCGTCTCCTTAATGTGACATGGAAAGCTCTCCCCGAGGTGGCCTTTGCCTCCCCCTTGCCACTCCAGCCGCAGACACTATCTCTAGTCCTTGCTCCTAGCGCGTCATGCCGTTTCTCACCTCTACCTTTTGCCATGCCCTTGCTTCTGCCGGGAATGCTCCCTCCCTCTTCACCAACCAAGCTCTGCTCATCCTCGGAGACTCAGTCAAGTATCACTCCATCACCTCTCTTATGACACCTGCCCTGATGGTCTCCTTGTCGTCTTCCACCCCCCCCCCACCTCTGCCATTACATGCCTAGTGCCCCGTACATTTCTTTAAGATTGCGCTTGCTGCATTGTTTTACGACGATCTGTTTGTCTGAGATCCCCACCATCAGCTACTTTTACCATGAGATATCCATTCATGCTTTTATCCTCCGAGCCCAGCACATGGTAGGCGCTCAGTCAGTGTGTAATGGCTGAATGGTCAATGACCACGCACGGGCTGCGTGAAGATTAGCGTGAGAGCAAATCTTCCCCAGTCACTTCTTCCAACATCTACCAAGAATAGTCACGACTTCCCTTATGCCCCCAAAAGACCCCATGCAGTCTCTCTTTCTACTCTCCTCTGGTTTAAGCTAGGCCACCTTTAGAAAGTAGTGGTTACCTGCCGGAGCTCCCACAGCCTGGCCAGGTCGATGACTAATAACTTCTTCAGTTCATGTTATAGATCATGACCAGGCACTGGAGGCCTGGGAGGGTGCTTATGAGGTGGCTGTTGTCTTTGATCCTTGCAGGTATGAGACAAGACTTTATGAGGACTGGTGTCAGACGGTATCAGAGAAGTCACAGTACAATCTTTCCCAACCACTGCTGAAACGTGACCCAGAGACAAGGCAGATCACTGTCAACTTTAACCCACAGGTCAGTCAGGTGGCAGTAGCTGCTGTTTGGGTTCCTGAAGAGTTCACTTTAACTCTGCTGATTTTAAAGGCACAAAAGCTTTTTATAAGAATATGCAAAAGGTGTTCAAAAGAATTTGCACCCTGGATTTATCTTGAGGGGTAAATCCTGGGGTATAGTGTTTTCTTAAGTTGTCCATGTCTACATTTTTCTCTAAGGTTGTGCAACTTACTTGCTTTCATTTTACACAACAGGAAATATTGCAAAGTATCACTGACCATTTAGTGCCAAACATAGCCCAGTGGCCCTTCCTTGAATACTCACTACATATGAAGGCCGTTTACTAGACACCAGAGGGCCAACCAAGTACATGTAAGACTTGGCTCCTGCCCTCAAGAAACCCACTGTTAGGTGGGAGCCAGAACCTCAACGTGCAAAATTCTATCTTCATTAGATAGCATTTAATACATCCAACAGGAGTAGCTTTGGAAATAAGACTCTAGATTAGTGGTTCTCAATTGGGAGTGATTTTGTCCCCCTGGAAACACTTGTTCATAAACTGGGAAGGGGTGCCAAAGGCATCTAGTGGGTAGATATTAGGAATGTTGCTAAACTTACAATGCACAGAACAGCACCCCACAACAGTTACTTGACCAAAAATGTCAATTGAGAAACTCTGCTCTAGATAGTCAGAAAGGCGGAAGACCAGCATAGACTATAGCAGCCAAGGAAAGCTTAATACTGAAGAAAATGATAGCCAAAGGTTAGTCCATATCAGGAAAAACACCACTCAGTTTTAAAAAAATATATTGGCCACATTGAGGTAAAGGCAGTCACCTACTTCTGCCTTGATGGCATGTTCTCCAGGAATGCATTGTAGACAGAACTGAAAACCAAGCCAATGGCATATTAAAGTCTTTTGAGAAAATTGCAGTTTAGGTAGAGCATTAGTTCCCTCCCCCTGGAATCTAAGTCAACAAGGGAAGTTAGAGAATTCATTGCTTCACTTTGGCAAGATGTGAGTCTATTGTTTAACTCACTTAACTCCTTGAAGCAATTTTATGAGCATTCTCTATGAGCAATATGGAATACTAAATGCCCCAAAAGATGACTGGATTATCAACTAGGCCATGGTCTCCATGTTATAATACAGTAATAAGTCCTTGGTGTGAGACCATACATGGTCCAGTCTTGAAGATGGACCAGCCTCCTCTATAGACTCCAAGGACAAAGACTCTATCTGCTCCAGTGTGTAGCACATGGTAGGTACTTTATGGCTGTTTGTAGATGATAGAGGGAAAGAACAGAGAAAAAAGGAAAGGGTGAGAGAAGATAAACACCTAAACAATAATGTGAGTTGAGGGGGGACAATTACAAGCATAACAAGTCAAAGAAGAGCCACCATCACCCCTTGACATACGACTGCAAGCAATGTGGCCATAGCTGAGCTATTAAGAATGAACCGTAACACACTTACCCACCTAGAGGGACGTGAGCAGAGATGGGCTCCTCTGGGGACAGGGCAAGAATTATATAAGTTAATTTTTTAATTTATGTAAATTATTTTAAATGCCCTATTGTTGGACCTTTAAATTATTTTACAGTTTCATCAGTCTGCATTTCATTGATTCTAGGATGTACTTTTTTTTTTTACATATTTATGTCTATGAAATTGGCATGTTTGTAGTTTAATAGATCACATTTTTTCTCTCTTCTTTAGTTAAACACAAAATAATAGTGAATATTACAGTTGATGACATCTTAGATTGCGTAAAATATGGCATAAATAATGCTACAATAAACATCCTTAGTTACTGTTGCATCCATTCTTGATTATTTCTTTAAGATAGTGCCTAGAAATGGAATTTCTGGGCTAAAGGGTATTCACATTCTGAAGCTTTTCATGTATATTATCAACTTGTTCTTCAGAAAGATTGAACTCAGTCATTTTCCTGCCAACCAGATATTATTCATTTCTTCAAGTAGTTTCTAGCCTATTGAACTAAAAACAGTATATCTCAATGTTTTATTAATTTGTATTTATTTGATTACAAGTAAAGTTGAACTTTGTCATGTGTTCACTGGTTGCTTATATTTCTTCTTCTATGTATTTCTCGTTCATGCCCTTTGTCCATTTTCTAGTGAAAATACCCACTCTTCCTTTGAATTTTTTAAGATATTCAGAAAATATTTGTCAGATATTAAGAAACTGGCTTCGAATATTTTTGCCACTTTAAGTTGACCATTTTTTTATGTGTATGATGTTTTATGCACAAAAACTTTTATGTTTCACTTTGTGGTTTTATGTTTGGAATGGCCTTCTCTACCTCCATTATTATATCAATAGCCAAGCATATTTTATTTATTTATTTCTATTTATCTATCATTTATTTCAATAGATTTAGGAGGTACAAGTAGTTTTTTGTTACATGGATGAATTGAATAGTGGAGAAGTCAGAGCTTTTAGTGTACCCAAATAGTATACATCTTACCTGACAGGTGATTTTTGTTCCCTTACCCACTTCTCACCTCCCCTCTTCTGAGTCTCCAAAGTCCATTATCCCGCTCTGTGTGACCTGAATACCCATTGCTTAGCTCCCAGTTACAAGTGAGTACATGTGGTATTTGTTTTTCCATTCCTGAGATACTTCACTTGGGATAATGGCCTCCAGTTCCATCCAAGTTGCCGTGAAAGACATTTCATTCTTTTTTATAGCTGGGTAGTACTCCATGGTGTGTGTGTGTGTGTGTGTGTGTGTGTGTGTGTATACACCACATTTTCCTCATCCACTCATGAATTGATGGACACTTATGTTGTTTCCATATCTTTGCAATTGTGAATTGTGCTGTGATAAACATACGAGTACATGTTTCTTTTTTATAAAATGACGTCTTTTCCTTTGGGCATATACCCAGTAGTGGAATTGGTGGATCAAATGATGGGTCTACTTTTAATTCTTTGAGGAATCTCCATACTGTTTTCCACAGAGGTTGCACTAGTTTATATTTCCACCAACAGTGTATAAGCATGCCCTTTTAACATCTGTTGGTTTTTGACTTTTTAATAATGGCTGTTCTGACAATGGTAAGGTGTTATCTCACTGTGGTTTTAATATGCATTTCCCTGATGATTAGTGATGTTAAGCATTTTTTAATGTTTGTCAGCCATTTGTATATCTTCTTTTGAAAAATGTCTGTTCATGTATTTGTCTTGCTTTTTAACTGGGTTCTTTGTTTTATTCCTGCTGATTTGTTTGAATTTCTTGTAGATGCTGGATATCAGTCCTTTGTCAGATGTATAGTTTGTGAATATTTTCTCCCATTCTGTATGTTTTCTGTTTACTCTGTTGATTATTTTTTTTTTGCTGTGCAGAGCTTTTTAGTTTACTTAAGTGCCATTTATTTATTTTTGGTTTTGTTGTATTTGCTTTTGGTTTTAGTCATAAATTCTTTGTCTAGACCAATGTTCAGAAGTGTTTTTCCTAAACGTTCTACTAGAATTTTTATAGTTTTAGGTCTTACATTTAAGTCTTTTAATTTTTTTTTGTTTTTTACTTTTTACAGTTAAAATTTTAATATCCATCTTCAGCTTATTTCAAAGTAAACTGGGAGACTGGGTCCATTTCCCCCACCAAATGATTAGCATTTGTCTTAACTCTGAGTCCTTCAGCAGCAACAAAGAACTAACCCTGAGCACTGCAAGGAGAGCTGGGGGCCCAGGTGTCTCTAGATGGAGACAGGGAGAACCTATGGCTTTGCACCTATTTTGTCACCTATGCCTATACACATAAGTCCGCATAGGTTCAGGTAGAGACATTGATAAATAAGAAAGGATAAAGAAGAGGGTGCCTAGACACTCCATTGGTGGCCTCTGCTTGGCTTCTCACTTCTTCAGTTGCCACTAAGCTCGGGGCCCCGCAGAAGTTCGGAGAGGCCTGGATAACTTCCATTTCCTGACCTTCTAGTATATTAAGACACAATGAAATGCCAGCACGGGGTTATAGAAATTGCAAGATTATCCAAATGATTATATGAAACAATTAAAGGTTTATCATGGGCATCTCCTCTCCATCTGTCAGTGTCTCTCTGACTGTGTGAATGGTCTCGTTGGAGAGAATACCGAAAGTCTGAACTTGAGGCTCCTCATGAATATAGGTGGCCCAGGCCAGATGATCCTCCTCCACACCTCGAGGACACCTGGCGTGGTTAGCTTGCCCCTATCGGTTCAGCAGCCACATGCCCCAAGGCACAGAAGGCAGAGTCCCTCCCTGCTGTCTCTGATGTCTCCTTCCTCAGATTTTCCTCTTCTTGCCCTTCCTTTGTGATTTACAGATCTGGAAAACTTTGCTCCTTTCTGAGTCATCTTCCTTCTGCCTAATACTTGATTTTCTTTCTCTGAGACTAGATTTAAGGAACTGGTAGGACCCGAAGTTAAGAGGAGGCAAAAGGTCTTTGGGCCCCTGGGATTCCCCAGTCCTGGACCAATGCTGCAGCCTATTCACCATGCTTGAACTGCAGCCACTGTGTTTCTCTTTCTCCAGCTGGTTTCAGTGCTGAAAGAAATGAGCTATCTTGAACCCAGAGCGATGAAGCACATCCCTGAGACAGCAGCAACCATGTTCTCCTCCAGGGAATTCTACTGGCAGCTTGTGGCTAATTTGGAGTTGATGGCAAATTGGTACAACAAGGTTATGAGAAGTCTGCTAGAGGTGGAATTTGCATTAGTGGAGGAAGAGCTGCAAAATATTGATCTCCGCCTGAAAGCAGCAGAGGAGACTCTGAACTGGAAAACAGAAGGTAACAGGGCACCACCTGGAGTCTGAAAAATGTTGGGATTTCAGGATCTAATAAAGTTAAGACAATCTCAGATTATTCCCTGGTAATCTGATTTGGATTTGAAATACAAGTCTAACCTTTCGTTTGACACATGTCCAAGCAGAGAAGCCAAGGAGCGTTGGTATTTATCTTCTTTCTTCTCTTTGGATGTGATTGGTAGATTTAGAAAACTTTGCTGTCATGCACTTCAGGAGGCTCAGAGGTTGCATAAGAGCTCCCACAGTCTCCAGCATAAAAGGCACTCCATGAATTAGAGCTCTTACTATATTATTGTTATTTAATTTTCTTAACTAGATTGTAAACATCTTAAAGGAGGGAACTATGCATTTATTTCTCTGGTATCCCTCAATTCAATTCAATAAATTTTTATTGATTAACATGTGCAGGGCACTAACAGTGGGACTGACTGCAGGGAGAATCTGCGACGTGGAGTGTAAGGGGAATGGGGCCTACACTCAGAAAGCTCACCTTTAGCTGCAACAACAGACACATGTATTATACAACCATACAAGACTGGCTATGATAAAAAGCCATCATTGAGTTAAAAATAAAGCACGATGAATCACAAGGGAGGGAAATTCATTTGAATTAGGGTGCTCAGAAGACTTAAAGTTTGAAAAGAAGGTCACAGTCAACTCATGAAAGCCTTGGAATGACATATTAAACAAGTTAGAACTTTATTTCGTATATAAGAGGGAATGACATTTTCAACATTTAACACAGTGAAAGTGCTAAAAAAATGGATTAACCCAAATAAAGTCATTAAGTTTCACTGGCATCTGGATGTAAAATTGTATTTCTTAGCAATTGTACCAACTTTTGCGTGCTTGGAAAGTAAGCATTGCCTCCTTGTTTCTCTTCCTCCATACTCAGTATCAGGGTAAAGGTTGGCTTTTTGATGCAACTAGAAAGGAATATGTTCTGAAACTGTGCAGAAAAGTCTTGTAAAGCCTGAAAGTATTAAATCCTTATCTTTCACAGCAACTAGACTTTTAGCTATGCCACTGTAGGCTATTTCAATTAATTATATTTCTTTTGGGGGGCAGGCATTTGGGATTATATCATTCAGCTCACCAGTAGTATTCATGATCTTGAACAAAGAATTCAGAAAACTAAAGACAATGTGGAAGAGATTCAAAGCATCATGAAAACATGGGTGGCTCCAATATTGAAGAGAAAAGATGGAAAAAAGGAATGCCTTCTTTCTCTGGATGATCAGCATGATCGAATGCAAAAATATTACAATCTCATCAGAGAATCTGGCCTTAAGATTCATGCCCTTGTACAGGTAATAACCAACTTCCTAGACACACATACCATGAGTATAGGGAAAGCATCAAGAAGTGTGTTTGGCTGCCAAAAGTGATTTGGAAATTAGAACAATCAATAGATGCTGTGTCTTTTGTAGTCAAGGATAGAAGTTTATACTGATAGCGAAAGAATAAAGCTAATAGGGGGAGTGAAGTGTAGCATTCTGGCATCAACGTGTCAAAATTAATACTGTCTTAATGGTGACACCACTTAATTGTCACATGACTGAAGTCTCACACCTAACTCCACGGGGGTAGGAGATGCCAAAGGCAAAATCTTAAATTATCCACTGCACTAACCGCCTCTGTGCCCAACTTCCCACACAACCTAGTGTGGTCTTCCAGCATCATCCTTATAGCTAGCCCTATAGAGCCTAAAGAGATGGAAGATTACCGTGGGGTCCCTAACTGCATTTAAGAAGAAGGAAAATGCAGAATGCTGCTTTTTCATGCAGGAAAGCTCCACCCTTCACTGTGGTCAGGGCAACTTTGTGTCCCTTCATTGAAGCTAAAGCTTCCTTGTGAACAGTGGACAAGGGTTATAAATGGCCACCAGCTCCAAGCCTACTGAAGTAGCCATAGGGCAGTGTCTGACAGGTTGACTCATGTGAGAAGTCACAAGTGAATCATGGTTGTTATCTGTGGGTTGCCTGTCGTTTGAAGCACGATGAAAATGTCGAGCCTTAAGCACTGGTGATGACCAGATTTAAGAAAAGAAGATAATTGCTGATATTTTGGCTTTAAGAGATAGAGTCCCTCAATTTGATTTATTTTTAACCCCTTCCGGCCCCATATCCAGTAATTCAGTAGCTACTGTAGAACCCAGACATCCACTTTTCGTCTATTTTTCTTTTGTCCACCCATCCATCCATCCATCCATCAGCTGTGTTTTCAAAACCATCCAAGGCCCTATACTGAATACCAAGAAAATGTAAGAGACATGCTTTGACGAGGAAGAAAGCCATCACACAAAGACAAGAAACTACTTAAGTTTTTAAAAGTTTAAAAACTCTATGTATGTACATACGTATGTATCTATCTATCCGTGTGATGACAAATGCTCAAATCCTTGCTCTTGAAAGTCAGAATGAGAGAAAATTTAAAGAATTAAATTGGCTAATCAGTGAGACAAGCACAGTGACCTAGAAAAAAATACATATTGTAATATTTTAGTTGTTCAGAGATAAACCAGGAAATAACCAAAAATGGCCTCAAGCCAAAATACTTGTTGCAAAAGTTTTTTTAAAAGTTCAGATGCTTTAGAAGGCACAGAGAGGTTAAATTAATTGACTAAAGCTGCCCAGCTAAGATGAGGCAGAACTGTCTAACTCAAACTCTGCATTTATCCAGTATACTGTATAACCTCCAGGTTAATCAGGAGAACCCCTTGGGCCAAACACAAAACTTAGTAATTAGGCCTTAAATAATGTTTACATTTTGATGATTTAAATTTTTTAAATAAAAATCAGTGAACAGAGGTTCCATGAACAGAAGGGATTTTTTGTCTTTTTCTGCCCACTGGTACATAGTAGGTGTTCAATAAATGTGTTGAATAAAATAACTGACTTTTTCTTTTGAGCATTTTCTATCTACACAGATGTAATTTTACAAAAATGTAATCATCGTACACTATAGTTCTATAACCTGATTTTTTAAAACAGTGTATACCCAATAACTGCCTGCGTCACTAATTAGCATTCTATAAGATCATGCATGATGTTTAATTGTATGGATAAACCATGGTTTGACTAACTCATCCCATTATTGAGTATTTAAGTATAACAGATTATTCATTTATTAAAGTCATAGTATAGTATCTATATAGTACAATGTACAGACATAGAATTCAGTAAGTTTTTACAAGCGTACACACTCAGGTAACTGTGAGAGGACAGAACCTCGCCACCACCCTAGAAAGTCCCACTTGTCTCTCCTCCCAGTCAATCCACTTCCATCCTCCCCCCAGCCCTAGTTAATCACTGATCAGCTTTCTGTCATTATAAAGTAGGTGTCTTTTCATATGAATGAAATTATGTGGCATGTACTCTTTTGTTTCTGCCTTTTTATACTTAGTGTAATGTTATTGAAATTCATCCACATTATTGCATTTATGAGGAGTCTGTTTCTTTTTATTGCTAGAGTTCCATTGCTCAAATATAACAGAACTTGTTCATCCATTCCCCTAATGATGGTCTTTAAGTTATTCTAGACTTTGGCTACTATAAATAAAGCTGTTATATACAGTCTTATATAAGTTATTCCATGGACATGTGTTTTCATTTCTCTTAAAAATTTCAAGAGTCATAGGTACATATATGTTTAACATTCTACGTAACTTGCACAACAGTTTCCCAAAGAATTGTTCATAATTTTTTTATTATCATTATGTGTCTATAGGATCTGTAGTGATCCATCTTTTTCATTCTTAATATTGGTAATTCACGGTTTTCTTTTTTTTCTTTGTCAGTTTTGCTAGGGTTTTTTTTTTTTTCAATTTTATGAATCTTTCCAAAGAACTAAATTTTGACTTTGCTAATTATCTCTATTCCGTTGCTTTCTAATTTATTAATTTCTGTTTTTTGTTATTTTATTCAAGTTATTTTGGGGTTAATTGCTTATCTTTTTAAAAATTTTTTAGCTTCTTAGGGTACAAACTTAGGGTATTGATTTTATGCCTTTTTTTCTTTCTAATATAGGCATTTGATGATATTAGTTTCCCTTTTAGCAGTGATTTAGTTTCATTCCTCAAATTTGATCTGCCTCATTCTGATTGTCATTCAGTTTTAACTGTTCTCTCTTATTATTACTTCTTTAACTTAATGGTCATTTAGAAGTATGTTGTTTAATATTCAGACTTCTCTAGATATCTTAATAAAATTGATACCAAATTTAGTTCTGTTGTGCTCAGAGAAGATACTATGTATGATTTCAACTTTTCGGAATTCACTGAGGCTTGTTCCATGACCCAGAATGTGGTCTATCTTCTGGAATGCTACTTGGGCACTTGACAATAATGTTTATTCTTCTGTTGTCGGGTATAGAGTTCTGTAAATACGAATAGTTCAAAGAAGTTGATAGTATTGTTCTGATCTTGTCTCCTTTCTGACTTTTCTATTTTTTCTATCAATTATGGAAGGTAGAGTGTTAAAATCTCCACCTATAATTGTGGATTTGTCTATTTAATCCTTTAGTTTTGTCAGATTTTTCATCACATGCTTGAAGTTCTGTTAATAGGTACTGACACACTTATGATTATTATAACTTCCTGATGAACTGACCATTTCATCATTATGAAATTCCCTTTTTATTTCTAATAATACTGCCTTGTCTCAAAGTCTACTTTTCCTGATAACAATATAGTCTTTCCTTCCTGATTCATTATTTCACTTTTTGTATTATGCATCTTTTCCCACCATTTTACATTCAACCTATTTGTTTCTTTGGATTTAAATTTCTCCTCTTTATAGTTAGTATATGGTAGAAACTTACATTTTTAAGTCTAACAACTCTACCTACTGGCATGCACAGACTATTAACATTTAATGTAAGTATTGATATGGTTGGATTTAGCGCTACCATTTTGCTATTTGTTTTCTATTTGATTCATTTATTTTCTGTTCCTCTGCTCTCCCATTCTCACCTTCTTGTTAATTAATTACATATTTCTAGTATTCTATTTTATCAATTCACATCTCATCTTTACCTTTTTGCATTCCATTTCTAGTGGCTATTATAGGTTTCAGTATGCATCTCAAACTTACCACAATCTACTTAGTTTTCCCATGAAATATAGAAACCTTGCAACAGTATGTTTTAATTTAACCCCTCACCTCATCATTTTTTACTATTTTTGTGTGATATATACAATATATATAACATATATTAATACATATATTAAACCCCACAATACAATATTATAATTTTTGCTTTAAAATTTTAGGAAAAATATTTATGGTGTTTAATATTTACCTAAATACTCAATGACAAGCCATTTTCAGGCTTGTTATTCCCTTGTATTGATATGAGTTATTATCTGTGGTAATTTCTCTTCAGCCTGAAGAAATTTCTTTAGTATTTCTTGAAATTCAGGTCTTCTGGTGACAAATTCTTTCAGTTTTTGTTCATCTGAAAATGTTCTTATTTCACCTTTGTTTTTGAAGGATAGTTTCATTAGATCTAGAATTCCATGTAGATAGTTTAGTTTTACTTTCATAAGTTATTTCATTATCTTCTACCATCCAATGTTTCTTATAAGAAGCCAGCCATAATTTATCTTTGTTCTTCTATATGCAATGCACTGTTTCTCTCAGGCTGCTTTTATTTTTATTCATTCATTTATTTATTTATTTATTATTTATTTATTTTCATTTCAGCATATTACGAGGGTACAAATGTTTAGGTTACATATATGGTCTTTGCCCCACTCGACTCAGAGCTTCAAGCATGTCCATCCCCCAGATGGTGTGCACTTCACCCATTAGGTGTGAATATACCCATCCCCTCCTCCCGCCTTGATACCTGATGAATGTCACTACTATATGTGCACATAAGTGTTGATCAGTTAATACCAATTTGATGGTGAGTACATGTGGTGCTTGTTTTTCCATTCTTGGGATACCTCACTTAGTAGAATGGGCTCCAGCTCTATCCAGGATAATACAAGAGGTGCTAGATCACCATTGTTTTATGTGGGTGAATAGAACTTCATGGTATACATATACCACATTTTATTAATCCACTCATGTGGTGATGGGCACTTGGGCTGTTTCCACATCTTTGCAATTGTGAATTGTGTTGCTGTAAATATTCTAGTGCAGATGTCTTTTTTATAGAATGTCATTTTTTCCTTTGGCTAGATGCCCAGTAATAGGATTGCTGGATCAAATGGTAGTCTACTTGTAGCTCTTTGAGATATCTCCATACTGCTTTCCATAGAGGTTGTAGTAGTTTGGAGTCCCACCAGCAGTGTATGAATGTTCCTATCTCTCCACATCCACGCCAACATTTATTGTTTTGGGACTTTTTGGTAAAGGCCATTCTCACTGGAAATAAGTGATATCTCATTATGGTTTTGATTTGCATTTCCCTGATGATTAGAGATTTGAGCATTTTTTCATATGTTTCTTGGCCATTAGTCTATCTTCTTTTGAAAAGTTTCTGTTCATTTCCTTTGCCCACTTTTTGATAGGGTTGTTTGATTTTTTCTTGCTGATTTTCCTGAGTTCTATATAGAGTCTAGTTATCGGCCCTTTATTGGATGTGTTACATGCAAATATTTTCTTCCATTCTGTAGGTTGTCTGTTTACTCTCGTGATAGTTTCCTTGGCTGTGCAGAAGCTTTTTAATTTGATCAGGGCTCATTTATTTATTTTTGTTGTTGCTGTGATTGCCTTTGGGGTCTTCTTCATAAATTCTTTGCCTAGGCTAATGTCTATAAGAGTTTTTCCAACATTTTCTTCCAGAATTCTTATAATTTCATACCTTAGGTTTCAGTCTGTTATCCAGCGTGAGTTGATTTTTGTGAGAGGTGAAAGGTGCGGATCCTGTTTCAGTCTTCTACGTGTGGCTATCCAATTTCCCAGTACCATTTATTGAATAAGGATTCTTTTCCCCGGTGTATGTTTTTGCTTGCTTTGTTAAAGATTAGGTGGCTATATGAGGATAGTTTTATATCTCGGTTCTCAGTTCTGTTCCATTGGTCTATGTCCCTGTTCTTGCGCCAGTGCCATGCTGCTTTAATTACTATAGTTTTTAATAGAATTTTTTTTAACCATTGATATTTTTTCGGTTTGTTGATAATGGGCTTAAGTGGGTTCTCATTTTATTCATCCTGCTTGGAGTTTGTAAGCTTCTTGAATCTGTTTTCACCAAATTTGGGAGGTTTTCTCAAATTATGATGTATTTGTCTGCTAATTTTAACGTTTATGTTACTTTCTTAGTCTGCTTTTTTCTCTCTCTGTTTAAAATGAGGCAGAATTTTATTTTTCTTTGACGTAAAATAAGTCTAACAAGTAGTCATTCCAGGGTTGGTATGACAGCTTTGACATCAGGGACCTACCCAGACTATTTTCTGAGTCTGTTCTTAGTGACTATTCTCCCTTCTGGCTAAATGTCACATTTTTCTGATTCTTTGCATGTCTAGTAATTTTTATTATATGCTAGACATGTTGGATGCCACTTGAATATGTGAGTATTATTTCCTTTAAAGAATTTGAGTTTTTGTTTTGGCGGGAAGTTAGCTTCCTGATAGATCACATTAACTTTGTTGAGATTCACTTTCAAGCTTTTTTAGGGAGGATCTAAAGAGGACTTACTCTAAATTGAGTAGCTCTCATCCTAAAGCATGGCATTTTTGGGGTCTCCACTGAATTCCTGGATTATCTGAACGATCTTTTCATTATTTCTGACTGACCTCTAACGTCTCCTAACACTATGTGACCTACGTAATTTCCATTCAGCTTCAAGCCCCCTGTGAATATCCTCTGTCAGATCTTACAGAGTCTCACCCTAAACATGTGCAGCTTAATACTCAATCAAAGACTCAAGAGGACCCGGCTGTCTCAGCAACCCCAACTCCAAATTCTGTCTTCTGTGCCCATCAGAGGGGTGCTGTAACTGAGCTCCACCACCCTGTGCTATGGTTTGGAAGTTACCTTTGGGTAGAAAAGCAGGTAGTTGTGACATTCATCTTGAGTGTCTCCCTTACCTCAAGGATCACATCTCTGTACTGCCTGTTATCCAATTGCCCAACACAGTTGTTTGTGCTACACCCAGTTCTGTAGTTTGCAGAAGGAGGACAAGTACAGTCTCATTCTTCTGCTTCATTAGCATCAGAAGCCTAAACTATTTCTTTTTATTTCACAGAAAATTCCAGCACATTTGTTCCTTAGACAGCAGAAGATTTGAGATAGTAAACAAAGGTGAAAGGTACAGACAGTCATATTGATAGCTTGACAATAGGGAGATAAAACAATTATACAAAGCAGTCACAAAAGCTAAAACTTGTTTAATGTACAAGCAAACAGGTGTACACATCTTAACAACACCTGAGAGCAACTCTATATTGTCACTGTGTTGTGATTTGCATAATAATGTATTTGAAGTTATTAAGAACATTTTAAGTCTACTTAGGAAGGAAAGGTGTAGGTACTGTATCTTGAAATTTTAGAGTTGTGTCACTTAAAGGCAGGATCATGAGATTGTTTAAATCCAGAGGGATTTATAACATGGCTATACTTCCTAAAGGGGTAGATGTGAGTCACCTGGAAAAGTTACTTTTGCAAGGTAGTTACTGCTTTCCCTGAAGATATCAGGTAATTGGAAAGTCACTGTAAAAAGTCTTAATAATGGAAATGATGAAGAGTAAATGTGATGTCCGTGCTTGTCATTGCATTTAGATTTCCTCTCCTTGAAGTCGAAACTTGTTACCATGGTGATGCTTGGGCTCCAACAGGTCAGGAACTGTATCATGTAAAAGAGAAGGAGAGAGAGGGGGAGAGAGAGAGATAGAAAGAGAAAGAGAGAGAGAGAAAGGCATTTGTTTATGTGTATGCGTTTTCTAAATCACTCAGTATGATGAAGGTTTTTAGTTAATATTAAATGTCAACCACTGTTGGGATATAGAATTAAGAGACATGAAAAGTTTCAGGAGTTTTGCAGGGCTTGGTCTTGAAGGAATCTGTGAGTGTGTTAGTTCACAGACCAGAAACTGCTTAACAACAAGGTGGGCATTCTACCGATCAGAGGGGTCTGCAAGGCGGCGCTGTTTTGAGGCCTTCAAGCCATCGCCTTGAGTTTGTGCAAGGCAGAACTTGACATGGGGTCCAAGGCCCAAAAATGCCAGCCCAGCAGACAACTTATAGCTGGAACTATCTTAAACTTCAAGACTATTCCTGCTTCCCTCCTGACCACATGTCTCAGTATATAGAAAAATAGATTAGATTAATATACAGACTCAGTGTTCCTACTTTATACATTTTTACCTTTAACTTATATGCTCATCTAGGTCTATTCTTAACTTAGGACTTAAAATATTTATCTTAGAAAAATCTTATAACCATTTACTTTTGTGGAAAAAATTAGGTAAGGGTCCCTTAAAACCTTTGGGAAACCTTAAAACCTAAACAAATGATTTGTACACATAATTCTATGACCAAGGACAACTGCTTACTGTGACAGTAAATACTGATGTGAGGCTTCACTCAGTGTCTCCTGACTCATGGGAATGCTGGAGGACCCTTGACTCCCCCATCACTTTAAACTACACTTTTTCTCTGTCTCTATTATTTCCAAATCTCTTGCGACAATCTTGCCTGAGACCTGTTTTGCTGGGAGAGTAGCTAACTCCCAACAAACCACAAAACACTCCAACTCATTTCTAAGGATTATCCAGGAAATGCTTTGCTTCTCTTAACCTCTTTTTTAATTAATTTATTTATTTTCTGAGACAGGGTCTCACTCTGTTGCCCAGGCTAGAGTGTAGTGGTATCATCATAGCTCACAGAAACCTCAAACTCCTGGACTCAAGCGATCCTCCTGCCTCAGCCTCCCAAGTAGCTGGGTCTATAGACACTCACCACCATGCCCAGCTAATTTTTATTTTTTGTAGTGATGGGATCTTGCTATGTTGCTCAGGCTGGTCTCGAAATCCTGGCCTCAAATGATTCTCCCCCGTCAGTCTCCTGAAGTGCTGGGATTACAGGCATGAGCCACTGCACCTGAGCTGAGCTTCAAATTTTTTATAAGCCTGAGTTATAATGCCCTCTACTCTTAGCATTCCTTCCTCTGCCTACCCTCACTTCTACACTTACACAGCTTCCCCTCGGTCTATCAGACAGCATTTGTGTTGCACATGCACTGCACCCATCTGCATTCCTTCTGAGAGGGTGGCCCTGACCCCATCCTCCCTCCTTAGGGCAGGATGGTGCCCCATATACCCCTCATGGTCTAGCTCTGTGTTCCTTTCAATCAACGGTTATAGCCAGACAGAATGAATCCAATACACACATAACAGCAAATTCTTTACAAGGAGGCTTTTTTCTCCATGTGTTGTTTTTATTCCCATTGATGATTGTGCCAGTTCTCTCATGTATTAAATGAGGTTTATATGCTTTCTTCTTTCTTTTGTAGGAAAATCTGGGTCTATTTTCAGCAGACTCAACCTCCAATATCTGGAAGACTTATGTTAACTATATTGACGATATGTTGCTGGATGGATTCTTTCTTGCCATTGAGTTCTCCCTCAAGTACCTCTTGGAAAACACTGGTACTTACTGGCTTATGGATGTGGGCTATTATTGGAAATATAACAGTGGCAGCATTCACTGAATTAAATTGAAGTGCAATTGAGTGATCTGTGACTTTTCCCAAAACGTTGTAGACTTCTTGTGAATGATATACAGTAAAATAGCAAAGGTATTGAGCTTCTAAATTGTTCAAGGAGAAAAAATTTCTAACTCTTTAAAACTCAGATGATAAACCGGGCTCTAAGAGAGTGAAGCACATAGCAAAAGTGAAAGCATAAAAGCAAATTCAATCTAAATGCAGCTTCAGTAAAGAGGAGTGCAAGTTGGCACTGCAGCAAGCGCTGTTAGTAATGAGGACAGAAGGCTGCCTAAGCTAGGCTCGAGGCAATGGGAGGGGGCATTCTGCACCTTCAGCCTTCGTGCTCTTTATCTCTGCAGCCTTTGGAGAGCGCAGGGAGGTTGTGGCAGTTGGGTCAAAAGGAAAAAACAGAAGTTTTTCCATGTGAAAAAGAGGGGAGGAGGTAACTTTCAGAAGGAAAAGGAATGTTACGAAGGTAATGGGCGTTCTTTGAAGCTGTTAAAATATAGTTAAGGGCTTTGAATTTATGCCGGATAAATGGGGGCAGGGTGCACACAGTCAAAGGTATAGGAAGGGCTGACCTTGGCTAGTAGGTGAGATGCAAAGGGCAGAAGAGTTCAGGACCAAAAGTTGAATGGAAGCTTCACATTCTGGCAGATTCTGAGTTGCTTAGCATGGATCCTATGGAAGAATTAGTCAAAATGGAAAAGCAGAGGGAAAGATTTTAAACCCAGAGGATGAAAGTGAGATGAGAGCTTAAGATGTCAAGCCCAACCCAAGGATAGAAATCAAATGCAGAGTTAAAAATAAGTAGGCCAAGGCCAGTGTCCAGATACCCAGCCCATGAAAGAAGGCACAGACAGATACCTAGGCTGAGAATATGGAGTGGAACAAGGCCCAGCTGAGTGGAGCCCAAATGGGCAGCCCTTGGCCTTGGTAGGTGGAGTGGCTGAGGTGAGAGGCATGGTCTCTGCTGGCAGGGTACAGGGGTGCTCCAAATCAAGGAAATCTGGAAGCAGGACTCAGGGGATCCAGCACAGTTAGCAAGGTGGGAGATCATCTTCTAGAGCCTGGGAGTAAATAGCCAATGGGGTACAGAACACAGGCACCAAGACTGAAGAACCAGCTCCCAAGGCCCAGACTGGTGATGTTCACCTGAGTGAATCAGCCAAATCCCCTTTAATGCTAGAAGTTCAGGGGATTTCATCAATCACCCCTTCCTAGAGGATCTAGGAAGACACTTCAGCTACACTTGGGTGCAGGCAATGCACTAGAAATGGTGCCCAAATATGGTCACTCTGCCCTTTACCAGCGGCTAGCTGGCTGTCCTGATCTGGGCTGTCCAAGGTGCCATGTGTTCTCTTGTGGGAAGGACAGAGTGAGAACAAGGGGATGGAGAGAAGAGATGGCAGTCTTTCTCCAGAATTGACTCTGTGGAAACAGGAGGGCAGAGGAACACATCTTCTCACAATACAGAGGCCCTTCAAATTCTTTGAGTGGGCAGGAGCTGGACTTAGCAGCTACCCGAACTGAGACACTATGGATGAAATTTAAAAGGCACTGGTTGTCTGAGCGTAAGTGAAGGAGCCTAAGGAGGACAGCATCTGGAGAAGAAAATTATGGGGCCCTTTTGCAGGATCCCAGTGGGATGGCTTTTTCCTCCCAGGTTCACCTTACCATTTTTGCCTTCTTGTGTTTGGTCACGCTTATACCATTCCCATGGCTTGGGCTGGCCTCCCTGTCTTCTCTTGTAACCCAGACCCTCCAGAGGTTAAATGCTACCCACTCCATAGAGAAATGTTCTTCCTCCTCTTACCTCCTAAAATGATTTACTTGCACCAAGATTGTGAAAACAGGACAGTCTGCCTTATGTATGTTGCTGTTACATCCAATGTAGGGATGAGGGTCTCATGTCAACATCTGGGGCAAAAATCTCATATAGGTAAGACATTCTTTAAAGTCTTTCAAATTCTATAAATTATAGGGGATCTTATCTATTAATTATAAGTATGTAATATGCATGGTAATACAGAATGTATCATGAGTACCTATATAAAGTATAATATTACAGGTGCTTTTTAAAAACTATTTTATAATAGCAGTATAATGACTATGCTACTAGAAAATTTGTATTCCCTGAAGTTAAATATGCATTTGATGGGACTCTCATGAGTCCAATAATGCAAACTTATCATCCCTCCAGTTATGAAGGCAAGGCTTTAGTCTTGCATATTGTTGAGGATCCTGAAGTATTTTAGTTAGGGCGAATGGCTACACTGGGGTGATAAACACTCCATGAATAATGTAGCTTAAAGGACAAAGAAGTCTACTCTCCACGTCATAGTCCAAGGTGAGTGTTCCAGTTTGGGGACAAGTTCCTTCCATGCTGTGGCTCCACCACTCCCTAGGGCCCCGTCCTCATTTCTGTGGTAGATGGGGCTCACTGCCACTTCCAGGCTCTTGTCCGTGGAAGGGGAAGAGAGAGGGTAGAGAAAGCTCAGCTGCTATCTCAAAGGTACCATCACGTCTTCCCACACCCACTGGGGAGGAAATCACATTGCCATACCTAACCGTAAGTAGGACTGGGAAATTCAATCACACCAGTTATAATTCTATTTCTAGGGAATAAGAAGTCAGTAGATTTCAGTGAGTAGTCTCCGCTCCACCTACACTCTCCAGCCCATACTAGGATCCTAAGTATTTCTACAATCGAAAAGATCTATGAAAATAAATGATTATTGATAAAAGTTTAAACATATATCCTGTACATAGAACATCTTGCTTCATATTGTATTTTGATTTAAATTTAGCAAGGCAAGTTGGTCTAGCAAGTAATCAAGGCTTTGTTAATTACCCTGTTTTTAAAATTTTTATAACTACGAGACTACAGGATAAAATAAGTTGTTTAAAGAGCAGAACAGGCAGGATTGTAATTTCTCTTTGTTGTTGGTGCCTATGTGGCTGTTGACAGGCATGGCCCTGTTCTCCTAGCGGATTCCAGTGGAATTGCATGGTTTGTGCCTCGGAAAAAATCAGCTGTTTCCAAGAAAATGGTTTTGGAAAATCAGCCTCTCCTCAACCAGAGGCTGTGTCACCCCTCAAAAGGCTTTTGAGAATGTGGAAGGGGACTGGCTTGGGTAGATCAGTTATTGGGATGTGCTTTGTGAGGACAAGGAGAGTAAATGTTCTGTGATGCCCGGGAGAGCCCTGCACAAGAATTGGCCTATCCAAAATGTCAGTGGTTCCCCTGTTGAGTAACACTACAAGACTATTACCCTCACCTTTTCTGGGGTGTTAGCAAATTTTACATTTCCATTTTTCCTACGCTCTAGCATCTTATCTAAAGGAAAGAGATGCTCTGGGTACTTTTGGAACATACTCTACTTTGCCCATTTTATCAATTCTTTTGTTTGTTTTCCTTTTTTTCAGAGTGTAAGGCAGGACTCACCCCAATATTTGAAGCAAAACTGAGCCTTGCTATCCCAGAATTAGTTTTCTATCCATCTCTGGATTCCGGAGTGAACGGGGGCCTCTATGACATCGTTGAGGGTCTTGTAACTAGCATTTTTGGGATAGCATCTCTTGTGCCCCGGCTTTCCCCACAAAATGGCTCACCTCACTATCAGGTACTAGATCTGCAGTCATCCTGCCCTCCAGCCAAACCCGGGGCTTCTTGCCAAGTGCTGGTATAACCTGCCTGCTGTCGTCTCACTCGCCAGGTGGACGTGGAGGGCATGGCCCACTTGGCAAACATGCGGAGCCTGCTCATGGAGAGGGTGCGGGCCATGATGGCCCTGTGCTGTGGCTATCGGAACACCTTCAGCCAGTATTCCTACCTGTATGTGGAGGACCGCAAGGAGATCCTGGGTCAGTTTCTGCTGTACGGGCATGTCCTTACCCCTGAGGAGATCGAAGCCCATGAGGAAGATGGCATCCCAGAGAATCCACCCCTCCTCCCTCAGTTTAAAGTTCAAATCGACTCCTATGAAAAGCTCTATGAAGAGGTGTGCAGGCTGGAGCCTGTCAAGGTGTTTGAAAGCTGGATGAAAATTGATATTCGACCCTTCAAAGCATCTCTGCTGAATATAATTAAGAGGTGGAGCCTCACATTCAAACAGCACCTCGTGGACCACGTCACTAACAGGTAGTACCATTGTTTTCACTTTCTTCCAGCATCCTAGGCTGCCGGAGCCCCATGTTTTTCATCTTCTTCATATTTTCCCCCGTGGGTATGTTGGTTAAATTAAAAATTAGAACAGCGAGTTAGAGGTTCTGAGCTTTTGAATAACACGATAACTTAAGTCCTGCCCTTTTCATTGTTCACCAGATGAGGCTTCTTTGTCGTATTTGCATTTGGTGTCCAGTGTGCGGAAGGTGCCCAGTAAGTAGTAAACAATGTGAGAGACAGTAACAGCAGGTCCGGCCTCCCTTTGCAGCTCTGACTGCACAAGCTCTTTAAGCCTGGGAAGCAGAGGGGGTCTAATGGGCCTTTTATAGTTTATTCTTACTCCTTGTCTCAGATTATCCCGCTGGGCAATGTGGAAGTCAATAAAACCCCATACCCCTGAGTGCTTGTCTGTGCCATTCTAGCCAAGCCACAGACTGGATCTAAAATCCTGTCTGTTCCACCGTGGGCCTAGACTCTCCCCAGCCCAGCACTAGTCTCTCTAACCCAGAGCATCATCCTCTAAATGAACAATCCAGTTGATCAACATTCTCCCACTCGCTTCACCTTAGCCTTGTCCCCAGAGATCCACCACAGTCAGAATCTTGACCCCCAACTCCACCAGAATCCCGCGGACAAGCCACAGTCCCTCTGTACAGTGATCACCCTTCGGTGTATGGGATGACACTGCAAACCTGACCAACCCGACCCCTCTCCTAAGTTCGGTGGTGCTTTTGCTTAATGCTGCAGCTGCCTTGCCCTGTGATTTGGAGCCATGTGCAGACAGGAAATGGCAAAATCAAGGATTTTATCTAGTTACAAATAAACTCCAAGAGACTTTGCAAGGGTAATGTTCGACCACTCTGGAAAACTCCAGGAATGCATCGTGGGGATGTTTTAAATAGGGCTTCCCAGGTGTTCTTTAAGAAGCTGCAACCAGTTTTCCACATTCATGAAAGTTTTTGCTCACTGAGGAGCTCAGAGGCAAGAAGAGAAAGTGCTGGTGGGAGGCAGAGTAGTGACAGATGCCCTAGAATGGAGCACTGCTGGGGGGACAGCTCCTCTGGGGTCCCTCTCACTTGGTAAGTCTGATAATCCAAGGACATGGTGGCATGTTTTAAAATGCAGGTTTTGTTATTATTTAGATATGGCAAGGCCACAGATCTGGAGGTGACTGCCATTGAAAAGACAGATTGTTACTCACAGGTCCCAAGAGAAGGGGCATGCCAACCACACAGGGCCACACGGCATGCACCAGGCCCATCGGGAGGCAGGGGGATCGGGGAGGAAATGCGGGCAAGGGCCTTATTGTGGTTTCCGTGGGAAGGGAGCAGATTTAGGATGGTGAGTTGGAATGATTTCAGCAGGATCTAAAGCTGTTCCTAATAGCCCTGGGATGATTAGGGCAGGGGGACAGAGGCCCAGACTGCAAGAGCCCCATAGAGGAGGTGGTGGACCCTGGACTGGTCAGTTTGCATGTGAAAGATGTGCTGCAGATCAGCCACTGCTCTCTGCAGGAACTGGCTGGCCCTGAAGGGGCAGTCCCTCCAGGGCCTGTAAGGCCCCAGATGTGAAAGAGTCAAAAACACGTGGTCAATACAGGACATCGACCCTGTATGGTTGACTACAGCTGCCGTGGACCTCTACCAGGCAAGGCTTCAGAGGATCTATCGGTGGGTTTAACTGGATGAACACATGGTAGAGCAGTTAGGAGGCTTGAGTTCTTGAACCCCTATTTCCTCAGTTCTGAAAGAAGACAATATGACTGGATTCCTCTAAGGCGCCTTCCAGCTTTAACAGTTGGTGATTCCATAAACTGGCTACTTTGCTACCCTTTAAGAAAATGTTTTGTTGTGTTTGCAAGGATTACATAAAATAGAAATAATAAGAAAAATAAAAACCATTTATTATTGCAGCAATCCCCAACATTTTTGGCACCAGGGACCAGTTTCATGGAAGACAATCTTTTCAAGGACTGGGGGAAGGGGATGGTTTTGGTATGATTTAAGTGTGTTCCATTTACTGTGCAGTCAAACCTCTCTGCTAATGATAATCTGTATTTGCAGCCGCTCCCCAGCGCTAGCATCACCACCTCACCTCCACGTCAGATCATCAGGCATTAGATTCTCATAAGGAGCATGTAACCTAGATCCCTTGCACATGCAGTTTACAGCAGGGTTCGCACTCCTAAGAGAATCTAATGCCACTGCTGATCTGACAGGCGACGGAGCTCTGACGGTGATGCGAGTGATGGGGAGCGGCTGTAAATGCAGATGAAGCTTCACTTGCTTGCCTGCCACTCACCTCCTGCTGTGTGGCCTGGTTCCTAACAGGGCACAGACCGGTACCGGTCCACGGCCCGGGGGTTGGAGACCACAGTATTATTGAGTGTCTACTCTGCGCCATGCAATTAGGAGATTTCCACCCTCCCTTAATGGGTCAGGATGAATCCCACCTCGCCCTACGTCGCACATACTTCATTCACTGTCAGAAGTCCAACCCCCTTTGTCATCTAAACTCTCATCCCTACTCAGTTTACTGCCCTAATCCAGCTCAGCCCCCAGCCCCACCCTCACAAAGCCTCTTCTGTGCCCCTCCACTGGACCTCAGGGTTTTTCAGCAGCAAATACCCACTGTTCCCTTTGTCTTCTCTCATCACGTTTTTGCTCTAACTGAAACTCGGCTCCTGTAAGGACACTGCTTCCCCCAGCCCTCCCACGTGGAGGCTGATTTTCCTGCCATATCCCTCCTACCACAAGGCCTGGAGGTGTGTAAGGTATCAGTGCTTTCTCAGTGCTGCATGCAGAACATTCACCACCTTCCTCCCTCAAAATTGCCAGCCCCTCTGATGTGACCATGAGTACCAGCTGCCACTCATCCATGCCACAGTCCCCTGCCGAGCCCTCAGTCATTCTTCCTCATCATTGCAGTTCTCGTTATCTGGATCATAGTCTTGCTCTCCCACCCTTCTGCCGAGAGTCACCCCCCTGGTCCAGCATCCACATGGAGTCTCCATTGCGCCTGCCTTTTATTTTGTTGACCTCCTCACTCCAATGCCCTTTCCCTCTGCCATCCTGCTGCTATTTACTTCTATATTGTATTCTTGAAGGGACAGAGGGAAAGATGCAGAAGTAATTGCTCCGCCCTCAGAAGCTCAGGTTGAAGCATGCCATTCTCTAACCATCACCTGGTGCCTTTCCACCACAGTTGGCAACATGCCATGCAGAATTCTTCACATCCATCAGGATTTCCAACCACGGACTCTGCCGCTTTCTCAGTGTCTGTCGTCCTTGATCCCAATTGCCTCCCTTTCCCACCTTGAAAAACCCTGACTTTATTTACAAACGTACTACTCCACACCTGCACCTGAGTAATTCATCTTTGATGAAGCAAAATCAAACCATTCTTCTGACCAATCCTACATTAAATTGATGAACATAAAATTCAAGCAGGCCCTCCACATTTTCTAAGACACTTCCCAATCTCCCAGACTCCTATTTCCTTTCTCTCCTCAAATTTCAAATATCCTCTCTGCCCTTATGACATTGCATCTCATTTCACTGAGAAATCAGAAGCAATCATGAGAGAATGAACTCTCCTCTTCACCAGCAGATCTACCAACCCACCTGCAATTGCAGCCATACATTCAACAACCTCGGCTGTGCCAATGGATAAGCTGTCCCTGCTTCTCTAAATCCAGCCTCTTTCCTCTCACCTTAGGACTTTCCTCTTTAAATATTCCCAATATCCAACATTGTCAATTTTTCCCTTATACATTCTTAACAGCGTGTGAGCATATTGTCATATCTGCCATATTAAAAAAGAGAAAGCAATATGGTCCCACAGGGTCTTCCAGCTACAACACAATGTTTGTGCATACTCCTTTATAGTGAAATTCCCCAAAAGTTGTCTATATTTGATTTCTTTTTTTTTTTTTTTTTTTTTTGAGACAAAGTCTCACTCTTTTGCCCGGGCTAGAGTGAGTGCCATGGCGTTAGCCTAGCTCACAGCAACCTCAAATTCCTGGGCTCAAGCGATCCTACTGCCTCAGCCTCCCAAGTAGCTGGGACTAGAGGCATGCGCCACCATGCCCAGCTAATTTTTTCTACATATTTTTAGTTGTCCAGATAATTTCTTTCTATTTTTTTTAGTAGAGATGGGGTCTTGCTCTTGCTCAGGCTGGTCTTGAACTCCTGAGCTCAAATGATCCACCCGCTTCGGCCTCCCAGAGTGCTAGGATTACAGGCGTGAGCCACTGCGCCCAGCCTATATTTGATTTCTTTACTTCTTCAGTCCCCATTCTCTCTCTACAAAAGGTTTTATTATGAAATATAATATACATACAATTTAGAGAAAAATATTAAAAGAAATATTTGCATTTGTGTCATCTAGCTAAGAAATAGAACATATATATATACATATGTATGTATATATGTATACATGTGTGTATATACACACACATATAAACATATATATGTATTAAAACTTTACAAAAATGAAACTATTTTATACTATATATTTTTCTGTGTCCTGTTTCTTTTACTCAGCATTATGTTTGAGATTTACTCATGTTGAAGGTATAGCAGTAGTTCATTTTTACTGCTATAGAATATTCCATTAGAAGAATATACCACAACTTTCTGTCCATTCTATGGTTAATGAACATTTGAGTTGTTTCCTTGCTGATATTAACAATGTTGCTATGATTACGCTTATACATCCATCTTGGAGTACATGGGCAAGCATTCCTCTAGGGTATATACCCAAAAGCAGAATTGCTGAGTCAAAAAGTATGCATATAACGCCAAACTCTGTCCCAGGTAGGGACAGCCGTGTGTGAAAATGCCTGTAGCCCAACATCCTCAACATCTCTTGGTGCTGACAAACTGTTCAATCCCGGCTGTTGTGGTGGAGTGTAGTGGTATCTCATTGTGGTAAACACTTTGCAATACTCTGAATATTAATAAGGCAGCTCATCT